GAGTCATGCAACCAACACCATATCAATTTTAGAACATTTTCATCACCTCCAAAGGAAACCCCATCCCCATTAATAGCCATTCATTATTTCTCCTCATCCTCCAAGTTCCCTTATCCCTAGGCAATCACTAATCTACTTTCCTCTGTGGGTTTGCCTTTTCTGGACATTTTACATAAATGGAATCATACTGTGTTTGTCCTTTTCTCCTGGCTTCTTATTTTTTCATTCATGTCGTAGCATGTATTGCTACATCATTCCTTTGTATGGTTGAATAATAGTCCATTATATGGATATACCACATTTTCTTTACCCACCGATCACTTGATGGACATTTGGGTCATTTCCACTTTTTTGTTATTATGTATAATACAGTGTGTGTTGCTTAATGGCATTTTGGTCAATAATGAACCACATACACAATGGTGGTCCCAACGTGCTGAGCCACACAGCCTATGTCTGTAATAAACTGAGCCATCTAAATTTGTATAATTATACTCTGTGACATTTACACATGGCAATATTGCCTGAGGACACGTTTCTCAGACCTGTCACAAGTGTCACATGACTGTGATGTTGTTATGAACATTTGCATCCAAGTTTGTAGACATAATATTTTCAATTCTCTTGAATTATGTGATGAGTTTTTAATTATGATATGGCTCTTCTGGGGGAAATTAAAAGGCTGCTCTTACCTGGGTGTGGTGCCCCTAAATTGCGACCACAATACTGGCTGTGAGCACCTTGACAGAGAGTGCTCATTTGTGAGGGAACACTGAGCAGCACTCATGGCAGGCATTGCTTTGTTCTGGCCTCTGCTATTATACTGGGGTAGTGTCTATGAGACCCATTTTACAGATGTGGCAACTGAGCCCTCAGCAAGCAAATTGCCCAAGGTCACAGAGCCTGAAGAGCGTGGGAACCTGAGCTTGGACCCAGGTGTAGGTGGGTGTGACAGAGCTCTTACCTTCACCTCACATGGCCACCCTGTTAGGGCAATTTAAGATGATGTCACTCCCCCACTGAAGGTTTACTGACCTGGATTTCACAGGCTGCTTTCCTGGGATGGGAATTTACCTCTTTTCACCCTGTGAAATAAATGATGATAGACAGCCTTGTTTTCACCCAGTGGCAGTGGAATTGAGTGGGCGCCCAAGGTCATGGTTGAGTTGGGAGAGGCAGACTCTAGGCTGGAAATCTCAGAGTCTCGCTCCATTGCTTTTTGGATTTCAACACAGCTGCTTTCAGAACTACAGCCTGTGCCCCCAGACAGTCACCATTCCTCTCTCAGTTCATATTATTTTTAAAATGTAAGCGATATATTTAAATTTAATTTATTCCGGGCCTCCCCGGTGGCGCAGCGGTTGAGCGCTGGGTTGCGAAGCTGCCCGCGGCCTCTGCGGCGCCGGTTCGATCCCCGGCTGCTCCCTGGCCACCGGAGGAGGGTCCCACGTGGCGCGCAGACCCCCCTGCCGCCCGCTGCACCCCTCAGCAGTGTGCTTCGGTCCTTCTGCCTGCTCTGCTCCCCGCTCTGGCTCTGGTGAATTCTCTCACCCTTCTGCGCTTCTGACTGTACCCAGTGCATGTAAAAACAAAACAAACAAACCAGCAAACAAATAAATAAAGCATGCCTCTATAAAAAAAAAAAAAAAAAAAAAAAAAAAAAAAAAATAAAAATAAATTTAATTTATTCCTCTAGGTAAATAAGGAACAATGGGGGGGAAAAGAAACAAAAAACCCCAACACCTCAGTCCCTCCGGTTTCTTCATTAAAGGCTGGAGTCTGATCACGTGGATTCTGATGTCCTCCCAGAAATCCCTCCTTAAACTTCTGCCTGTAGATTTTCTCTTCAGCAGCTGTCATACTCAGGCTGTGCCTGTGGTCAGGTCTTTGCTGTGAGCTGTGCCTGCCAGCTTTGTTTCCTGTCTGCACTTTGTGAATTTTGAATTTTGATTATATAATATTATATTATCACATCCGAAAGTGAGTCCTTACCAGAAAGATTTTATTGATAAACCAAAAATTATATGAGGAATTATTTAATTCTCTGGTGACTAGTTTACTGCTGTCAAGAAGGGTTAGCAGTCTTCCCTGGTAGCCTAGGGGTTAAGTCTCAGCGCTCTCACCACTATGGCCTCAGGCCATCCTGGACCAGGGAGCTGACCCACATGCAGTGCAGTAGACCTCTCCTGTCTTGCCCGCTGCTCCCCTCAGCAGAGTATTTCAGTAGATCTGCCTGTTCTGCTCCCCACTGTCTCTAGTGAATCCTCTCACCACCACCACCCCCGCACCTCTTGCCTACACCCTAGTTCTTCTACGCAAAAATTTTTTAAAAAATGGGGGCTTCCTTGGTGGCAGCACTATGAAGCAATATGCAGCCACTGCAGCACAGTTTGATCCCTGGCCAGGTAGCTAACCCACATGGCACAGCAGACCTCTCCTGTCTTGCCCGCTGCTCCCCCCAGCAGTGTATTTCAGACAATCTGCCTGTTCTGCTCCCCACTCTGTTTCTGGTAAATACTCTCACCACCACTCCCACCTCTGGTCTACACCCTGGCTCTTGTATGCGTAAATAAATAAAAATAAATCTTCTAAAATGTTTTTTAATTAAAAGAATAAAGAAGGGTTAGCTTTCAAAGACAACAGGCAAGCCCAGGACTTTCAGAATTACTTCAGGAAGAGTGAGGGCTGAGCTCATCTTCTGCCTTCCCTGGGAAAAGCAGTTCCTGTTTACTTTACTTGACAGGTGTTCCAAACTTGTGTGTCCTGTCAACAGAAACCTTCTCAACCTTAGAATAAGACTGATTTCATGGGGAAAGAGAGGGGAACCACAACAGCCCCATTCTCAGCTTGAAGTAGGAAGTGGTTTGCCCACCCATCCTGAGACTGACCATTTATTTGCACTTGTCTCTCCAAGGGTTTGAGATGCCCTCTAAGATGGCAAAATGGGCACAGCGTAACAATACCAGAGGAATCCTGATGTAGGAGCCATTGACTCCTTTTGTTGGGGTGATCTCAGGGTTTCTGACCTGCTGTTTGAAACCTCCTCAGCACCTTGAGAATTTCCATTTGTGTTCCCTTCTTGCTTTCTTCCTCTGTCCTTTTAGTCCCTGCTTTCCCCTTAGCTATGACATTTATTAAGGAGTTAGTGTCTACAGAGTCACATTCTGCTTGTAGAAAAGGAAATCAGATCTAGAGTCAGATACCAGCTTCAAATCCCTCTCTGAGAATGGGTCACGCTGTGAACAATGTGGCTTCAGCTTTCCTGTTGGTAGAAGGAGAACAGTTGGGGCTAACTCTTGGGGTTAGGGGCCTTCAGTGATAGAGTGATGAGAGCCTGCTGAACGTCGGTGACTTCTTTCCTTTCCAGTTCCCATAACCACCTCGTCTTCTGTTTCTGGGATATGTATGTGTTTTCAGATTCCCAAACTGTAGGCAAACCTGCCCGTGCCCAGTTTGAGTCATGGCTGCCTACTCACCTTCACCCTGTGGCTCACTCCTTTGTTCTTTATGTAAGACTGGAGACAAAATTGCATTCATTTCCCATCCTGTTTTGCTGTTGGAATATTCCTGAAGAATATATTCTTTCGGAGTCCAAGGAGAGGACACGGCCATGTTCAAGTTAAGCACACATGCTTTGTAGAACTTGCCTAGTTTTCTGCTGACATTGGCCCTCTGAGGTCTAGGTGGTTATTATCTCCATTTCATGAAGGGGACCGATCATCTCTTGCCCCATAGCTAGTGACACAAGGGTTTGCACCCCAGGTCTTGCCTTTAAAACTCATATTCTTGCCTCTGCTTCAAGTGATTTCCTATATGCTTTCCATCTTGTGGTCCAAATTTATTATGCATCTCACCCTCGAGGAAATTGGATGGTGCAATCTTGATTTGCCAACTGCATGCTCTGGTAGCAAGAATGATCCCTGGCTCCCCCAAATCAGATTTCAGAAATCCCACAGCCCTCAAACCTGAGGTACCCCATACAATATTTTTTTCTTTTTTAGCATCCTGGAATTTTATTAGAGTTCTTTCAGAATTAGTCATCTATTGGGTGAGAGGGGGGGAAATAAGATTGGGCACTAGGGGAAAGTGGGCTACCGAGTAGGGAGTGGGAAAATATAGGAGCAGCACTCAATGTCCAAGTTGAGGAGGTTTCAAACTATTGGAACTCAGGTAAACTTACTAATTATTCATCTCACCCAACCTAACTTTTAAGCTGAGAAAACAGAAATTAAATTACTTGTTTAAGATTGCAGGGCTGGAGATAAAATTGAAGCTGAAACTCATATGCTTCTCTTTTCCATTATTCATTCTTATATACCTAAAGTTTTTCTTATGCAGAGTTAAAACAAGTAAAAGCAAAACAAAATTAATCAAAGCAAAACAAAAGCTGAAGCACTTAACTCATTGGAATAAAGGCAGGAAAACTACTTGAATTTATGTAACTAGTTTCTTTTCTAAGTAACCCCCATGTAAATGCATTTTAAATTCAAACAGCATTTTTCATAAATGTAACACCATACAATTTTTCTAGATTTTTCAGAAACCAAAACTTTACTTTACCAATACTACCCCCCATCCCACCCCTATCACCACCTCCCAGTGGTGAAGATAAAGAAAGAAACAGCAAGACTCTTTGTTCTCCTTTTATCTGCTAAATTTACTGAGAGAGGCTAGCCCTAAGAGAAAACTGTGCTGAGTGAGCACTGACTCCCAGTTACACCAGCGGCTCAAATCTTAGGTTCCTCTGCTCTACAGACCCAGTTATCGCCAACGATGTAAGACATCTTATCTTCACGCCTTTTAATTTCTATGTAACATTAGCAATTCCACTCAACTGAAACACTGCCACTACATTTTTATCCAGCTTTTACGTGTGTGTATGTTTGGGGGAGGTCTATATAATAAATACTTGTCCATAGTATTGCTCTAGAATGTCCTCTAATTTCTTAATAATTTCTGTTTAGATACTGAGTCACTGTATATGTCTGTAAAGTCATTTTATACAAACATTTAATTCTCTAGTTTCCTCCCACAGGGAAGAGGGAGGAACAGAAAGCTCTTAAAGTAGTACAAACCCAGACTGCTTTTCTCCCCCTCACAAGTGGTTCTTTTCAAAGGGTTTGGCGTGCCTGCTGTATGGATGTGTCTCTGTGTGAGATGACAACAGGATTTGCTGGGAATGTGGGCCACTATTGTATCTGCCTTACGTAACCACGTGGAGTGATGGCAGTGGGTGACCGGCCTGGGATGTAGGCAGGGGCCTGGCTGATTAATCTCCAGAGGCCATGAAGACTGCCCAGGCCCTGCAGAGGATATGGATCCAGGCTGTTAAAAAGTTGGGGCTATGGAAAGACCATGTGAGTCCCTTTACCCTCACCCCCAGACATTCTTTGTAGGAAGGAGGGTGGGAGAAAAACCCCTCTCACAGAGACTCCTTTCTTTTTGGATTTATTTGTGCTTCTGGGAGCTTTCAGTAATAACAAATTGTGAGATGCGGGTTGTTTTTGTTTTTGTTTTTGTTTTTAATACTTGTGTTTTTAGCTAACTGTGAGACTAACTGCCTCTCAGAGGATTTAGGAATCAAGGGCTGCTGTTTTCCATGTGTTGGGAATCGGCCAGCAGAGTTTGGCTTCCTGGGTTCTAACTTAATATACTGCCTCGAATAAGATGGTTGTATTTGTGAATTTCTTGTTTTGGGGCAAAACTTTGTTTCCTTATAACTGCAGAAATCTATACTATTACTCTTTATGTCTAGGCTTCTAAATTTTGGGAAAATATAGTCATTTTTTTCTGTTATTGTTTATGATTTCTTATTTTATAGCTTTGGAGTTTTATCAAGTATGTTCCTTATGGGGAGATTTTGGCTAAGCTCTAACTGTGGCCTCCAACCACTTAGAAGCTGCAATTTGTGGACAAAGTAAAAACTTGCCTTTGCGGGGGCAGGGGTAGGTGGGCGGGGGAGTTGGGACAATAAAGATTTGGCATTTGCCTTCTGGTTAGTTTTTAAACACTTTTCCATATGCTTATGTAAAATACAGAATTTACCTATTTTTAAAAGGAAAGAAACTTTATAACAACTCAAGGATATTCTTTAAATGACAGATCAAAGAACTCTTCTTGTCCTTTCCTCTTCGTTCATCATGTAAATCCCTTACCCTTAGCACAAAGCTTTTATTTACTAAAAAATGAGCTCACTTTTAAATATCCTTTTTGTATGGTTATAACATCCAAGGGATTGTTATTCACTCTGCTAACATAGGAGGTGAAAGGGAGGGGGATAAAGTGGTGAAAAGCAACCTGAAGATCCTTGTGTGTGGAATATTGACTGATGGGGTCAACAGGAGGCCTGGGGTCTTCTGTACACTGTGCTCCCCCAGCTAACCAGATTCTCTCACTTGCCTTCTTGCCTTCCCCACATCTCTCAAATTACTTCTAGCATTTTCTACTTTGTCCTCTCCCTACTTTGTATTGCATTAACAAAATTCTTTTTTTTTTAAAGATTTATTTCTTTATGCACACAAGAACTGGGGTACAGGCCAGAGGTGTGGGGGGTGAGAGGATTCACCAGAGACAGTGGGGAGCAGAACAGGCAGATCTACTGAAATACACTGGTGAGGGGAGCAGCGGACGAGATAGGAGAGGTCTGCTGCACCATGTGGGCTGCTCCCTGGTCAGCTGGGGATCGAACTCGTGCTGCAGTGGCTGTCAGTAGCTTGATAGAACTGTCTTTAACTAACCGTGCGCCACCAGGGAGGCCCCAAAATTCTTTTTGGTAAAAGGTCCTGGGTCAGGAGTAAGGTGGTCCTTGATGTTCACTTACATGCCGCCCCCCCCCTTTTTACATTGTGAAATGTATGGTACATGAAAGAATGATGTATCTAAATCAGAAAGCATAATTATAAAACAAATACCCATGAACCCATCACACATATCCATGGGGCTTCATCGAAATAGACACAAGGGCCTTTGTATCTCACACCTCTGCCTTGTCCCAGGTCATTTCATCTTGAATTTTGTGTTTTTCATTCCCTTTTTCTGCATAGTTTTATCACATACCATACGTATGTCCATATATAGTGTTAGTTTTGTTTGCTTTTTTTTCCATTGAGGTTAAAAAAAAAATGAAACATACAACTTAACCATTCTTAAGTGTACAGTACAGTAGTGTTAAATATATTCAAATTTCATGAAACATTGCTTTTTAACTATATAAAACTACTCTAGAGTCAGCTGTATGGTTTGCCTTTCTTCTATACAGGCAAAATTGTTTTTTAAAACCCCCTTCTGCCAAAGGGAATAAATGATCTGCTCTAATATGTCAGTCGATAGAATTTCTTTTTGTCCTAAGCTTCATTCCCCTGCGGTTCTAAGAGTTTAGTAACAGGATAAAGAAGTACCTTATCTGGGCATTTTTCAATTCTTTATTTCCTATTAATATTAGTGTAGAGGGCCTCCCCGGTGGCGCAGCCGTTGAGCGCTGGGTTGCAAAGCTGCCCGCAGCCTCTGCAGCGCCGGTTCAATCCCCGGCTGTTCTCCGACCACCAAAGGCGGGTCCCACATGGCGCGCAGACCTCTCCTGCCGCCCGCTGCTCCCCTCAGCAGTGTACTTCGGTCCTTCTGCCTGCTCTGCTCCCCGCTCTGGCTCTGGTGAATTCTCTCACCCTCCCGCGCTTCTGACTGTACCCAGTGCCTGTATGAATAAATAAATAAATCTTAAAAAAAAAAAAGGCAGTTGGTACATAAAGCCTAAAAAATAACAATGACAAACTGCAAAAAAAAAAAGTGTAGAAATGTAAATTTGATTTAAAAAATTCTTAAATGTAAAACAGTTTTTCTTAAGTTATTTTAATATGTACATAGTAAATGCAGAAAGACTTTATTCTCTAATTAGATTTATTTACTTTGTGTCCTTATGTTTTAGCTATTCGTTACTACAATATAGTTGCATCTTATTTTTAATCCATTCTGACAATGTTTTTAAATCATTCTTCTGTATTAATTTCCACAGTCTATGTCTGTATTTTATGGTTGCTCTGCTTTATAAAAATTTCCCCTTTTGTCCTCCTTTACCTTCTATTGGATTGACTTTTGCTTTTTCATTTTACTCTTCTGCTGTCTTGGAAGTTATGTTTTTTAACTCTTATTGGTTTCTAACTAATAGTTACATTAGAAAATTTTACATGAAGTTTTAGCTTATAAACTTTAATACCTTCACTGTACCCTCAAATAAAATTATTTAGAATACTTTAATCATGATAAAAACTTTCAAGATTTTATACTGTGTTGCCCAGTGCTTTAGTTCTAGCCTATGATTTTTGAACTCTCACATATTATACTTTATTACTATAGTTGTGCATAGCCAGTACGTATGCATACTTAACATTCTTTATTGTGTCTTAAGTCTTATTTCTGGGATTATTTTCCTTTCTGAAATTTCCCCTTTGAAAATTCTTTTATTGCTTATCTGTGATAATCTGTCTCAGTTCTTTGACTTTTCAAAAAAAATGCCTTTCTGACCCTTCAAATAAACATATTTTAAGGATATTATTCTATTAACTTTAGGCTTCCATTATTGATGCTGAGAAGTTGGTTGTCATTCAGACGGCTGTTCTTTTGAAACTAATCTCGTCTAGCTACTTTGAGGCTCTATCTTTTTTACAGTGCAATCACTATGTGTTTAAACATGCTTTGTTTTATTTTGAAAATTCATCTTGTTGGTGATGTATTGAGTTTCCTGAACCTGGAAAGTCTTCAATTCTGGAAAACTCATTATTTCTTCAAGTATTGCACCTTTCCTGCAATCTTACCTTTCGGGAAATCGAAGTAGACACTTTGTGAAACCTCTTAACTTCTCTTTAATATTTCCCACTTTTAAAAACACTTTGTGCTGTATTCTGGGTAATTTCTTCACACCTATTTTCCAATTCATTAATTACTATTCTCAACTGTGTCTAGTATGTGGTTTAAATCATTATTTATCTAATCAGTGATCATCTTTTCATTTCTATAAACTGTATTTGCTTTTTTCAGGTTTGCTCTGTCATTTTTTATGGTCTCTTGTTTTTCCATTATGCTTTCATTTTCCCCTTTTAATTCCTTATAAGCAGATGATACATAATATATGTACTTTTATACATACATAATACTTTTAAAGTACATAATACTTTTAAAAGTACATACATAATATATGTACTTTTTTTGGTTTGGGACATATTTTTAATATTTACAGTCTTTTTAAAAAAGATTGATTTATCTATGCATACAAGAACTGGGGTACAGGCCAGAGGTGTGGGGGGTGAGAGGATTCACCAGAGACAGAGTAGGGAGCAGAACAGGTAGATCTACTGAAATACACTGCTGAGGGGAGCAGCAGGCAAGACAGGAGAGGTCTGCTGCACCATGTGGGTTAGGTCCCTGGCTGGGGATCGAACTCGGGGATTGAACTCATGCTGCAGTGGCTGCGGATAGCTTCATAGTGCTGCTTCTTAACCCCTTGCGCCACTAGGGAGGCCCCCACTATTTACGGTCTTTGATTCTGTGGTTTTTGTTACTGCTGGCTATCACTCATGATGACATGTTTTACCATCTATGTGTTTAAATTGTGAACTCTTCTTCAGGGGATCCTTGGAAGCCTGCATTTTAGTATGTTCCTTGGAAAAACCTGGCATTTCCTCCCATATCTGTATGTGGATGGTGCTACCAATGCAGAACCATTTTGAGTGGGAGTGTTTTTCAGGGGTGTGGTCACATCATTAGTATCCACCTCAGTCCCTAACCCGTGTGAGTATATGTCTGTTTATTGGCATTCTCCAGGGGGATACTTTTAATTATTTCCATTCTACCCAGAGCCAAGGATGACGTGGGTGTCCCTGCTGTCTTCATCTTTGTAGAGGCATTTTTTCCCCCTAGTACATTCACTCTGATCTGATCTCCACATTTTGGGATCCTACAGTTTATCTCTTTCCCCAGGCTCATGTTTAAATGCCTTAGTCAGTCAGCAGTGTCTTTTCTCTCTGACTTTGAGCTTCTTTGGACTTTCTAGCCTTTGAGGATTTCCTTATAAAGGTAATCTGCGTTTAATGGATCATTATTATTTTTAAAATGATATCCTCCATTTTCAAGTTTTTCAAACATCTATTTTGGAATGTTTTCATAAAGGGGAGCTCAGGGGGTTATTTCATACAGGCATTTTCTTCTACACAAAGAGATGTATGTGATACAGGTGGAGAAAAGGGATCTTACAGATTACACATTAAAAATTTTCTGTGATATGGCCTCCCTGGTGGTGCAGGGATTGAAATCAGTGCTATCAGCAACCACTACAGCACAAGTTCCACCCCCGTCCCCCTGCACAAGACACCCCGCCCACCCCCCCAGGTAGGTGACCCATATGGCACAGCAGACCTATCCCATCTCACCTGCTGTTCCCTTCAGCAGTGCATGTCAGTAGATCTGCTTGTTGTGCTCCCCACTCTGTCTCTGGTGAATCCTCTCACCTCCCACACCTCTGTCCTGTACCCCAGTTCTTGTATGCATAAATAAATAAATCTTAAAAAACAAAACAAAACAGAAAACTGTGATAAAGTCACAGGTGCCTTGCCTTGAAGGTCAACTTTCACAGGAAGAGAGGAGAGTAGTTAAATTTTTTTTAAAAAAAGTATGTTTGAAACTATTCAGATTTTTTAAAAAGGAAATTTATTATGACAGTGTTTTGCAATGGTGATAACAAAAGGACTCAAAACTCAATACTTCATTTTTTTTGAAGATTTATTTATTTATGCATACAAGAACTGGGGTATAGGCCAGAGGTGTGGAGGGTGAAAGGATTCACCAGAGACAGAGTGGGGAACAGAACAGGAAGATCGACTGAAATACACTGCTGAGGGGAGCACTGGGCAAGTCAGGAGCGGTCTGCTTCACCTGTGGGTCACCTCCCTGGCCAGGGATCGAACACATACTGCAGTGGCTGTGGGTAACTTAATAGTGCTGCGTCTTAACCCCTTGCGCCACCAGGGAGGCCCCTCAATACTTCATTTTTTTAAAAAGATTTATTTTTATTTATACAAGTGCTAGGGTACAGGCCAGATGTGTGGGAGGGTGAGAGGATTCATCAGAGACAGCGGGAACAGAACAGGCAGACTGATGAAACACACTGCTCAGGGGAGCAGCGGGCAAGACAGGAGGGGTCTGCCACACCATGTGGGATTCTCGCCAGCCAGCTGGGATCGAACCCATGCTGCAGAGGCTGCAAACAGCTTCACAGCGTGGCACTCAACCACCTGCGCCACCAAGGAGGCCCGATACTTCATTTTTTTAAGTGTATATCTCTCACTGTGATTTCATGAATTTTCCGGTTTTGTTCAGACTGCCATTTAATGAAAGAGAGTATGTTGGAAAATATGTAGCTTAAAAAGAAAAAGAGAGTATGTAGCTTAACATTCCTTAAAAAATCAACGTTTTTGGTATGTAGAATATGTGAGCTAGACTTTATATTGAGGTATTTTGAATTATAGTTTTATTCCTAGCATTGATATGGTTTTAATCAAGTTGGTTTTGGTTGTTTTAAAACAGGCCCCAGGCATGGAAGAACTGATATGGGAGCAGTACACTGTGACCATACAAAGGGTGAGTGTTTCACGTTACATTTATGCTATAGTCGTGTTCTTGAATTTACCGTCATGGATCGTATTTATTTTTCCTAAACACAATTTTTCCCCTTGAGGTGGTCGATGACTGTTGGTTAGAGCTGGCAATAATTACCATATTAACAAAGGTTTGCACGCTATGTTAGTATTTGGTGAACTCTTAAAATGTAGAAAATTTTAGAAGTTAATTTAGTGCTTTCACCTATTTTTCAGACAGAACAGTTAATGGAAAAAAGTGAAAATGGAGAGGAATGGACTGTTTAAGGAAGTTGAAGTAGCTTCTGTACCTTTTATCATTTTAATTACATCACATGTATCCTATCACTCCCTCAGTGGTTTTAAGTCCAAACTTAATTTAAAAGCATTGCCGGGGATCGAACCATCGCTGCAGAGGCTGTGGGCAGCTTTGCAGCCCAGCTCTCAAACGCTGCGCCACCAAGGGAGGCCCTGGGTTATATTCTTTATTCCAACCCTAATATACTAAACGGTGTTGAATTAATCACAAAAAAAAAGTTCCCACACCCCAGTGGGATTAAGTACTACATGTAATATATTTTACTTAAGTTTTAAAGTGATCTCACAGGTATTTCCCTCTCTTATTAAATGAGATACTATAAATAGCTTCCAGGACAGGGGGTTTAGCCAATAATTATTGCCTAATAGATGTTACCTCCTCTCCTTTCTATTCTGTGAGTAAGGTTCAAGGTAGGCATGGCAAGTGTTAGCCCTGCTGGAAGTAAGCTTCAATACAAGAGTTTCAAAGTGATTTTTGTCCACCTGAGCTGAACTTGGACTATACACCTGCTTCTGAAGTCTCCGTCTTGTCAAGCTACCTTGGCCAGCATTTGCTGTGATTTTTATGAGCCACAGAAGTCTTATTCCTGCCCTGAGTCCCTCAAGTCTCCCTCACTGCTTAGAGGGATTATAAATTCCACAAAAGGAGATTTCCTTTGATCTTCAGAACCCTCAACCTCGAACCATGTCTTCAATGAAAATTTGGTTCCTGAAGAAATGTTTATTAAAGTATTCAGGCAGAAAAAGAGCATCACTGGGTCAGTGCTGAGGTGCCCAGACCTCTGGAGCAGTAATCAAGTTTCTTCCATTGAGGGGTTTCCCCCTTTAAGTCTTACTTTTCTCTCTGGACATCTTTCTGGTTCTTCTCTGTGCTCTTTCTGCCAGCATTTCACATGCCCCTAGAGCTGTGGAGCCCAAATTGACAAAGGTCAGAGATATTTTAGGCCTGGTGTAGAGTGTGGACCTACCTCTGTGTAAAATCAGGCAGGCAGTGATGGTGCTGCCCAGGTCAAAGCTGTCTGTCTCGTGTTGGGAATTGTTTGTCGTCAGTTGGCAGACTGGGTCCATGTGTGAACTTTTCCTTGTGAGGAAGGATTGTCTTAAATTTTTCTGAATAGATTGTCACATAACTAAACCCTGTTTGGGGTTATATCATCACATATACTCATCTCATATGGATGAAACCAGGAACTTAGCTTTTTTTTTTTTTAAGATTTATTTATTTATACAAGATCCAGGGTGCAGGTCAGATGTGCAGGAGGGTGAGAGGATTCACCAGAGACAGAGCGGGGAACAGAACAGGCAGACTGATGAAATACACTGCTGAGAGGAGCAGCAGGTGAGACAGGAGAGGTCTGTCCTACCAGGATCTTAGCTTTTTTAAACACTGAAATGAATTAGGATTATGTGTTATCTGAGTTCACTGTTAGACTCTAGTCTTATATGGACAGGACTCTTACATAGGAAAGGGTTAAGTGCTTTGCTCTCTCATACGATTTCTTACCACCATGAACACTAAATTTGTGTTTGGATTTAATATTTTGTCTTTAAAATTCAATTACTTCTTTTTTTGCCCTATATTAAAATGAAACCACTAAACTCACCTAATCTGAAGTTAAAGGTATATTTTAAAAATACAGATTTAGCACAGATTCAGTTGTATCTGAGGCTTTCCAGGTCAGGCCAGCATGCTAAGGATAGGTGCAATCATGATTGGAATATCATATCCAGTTTGGACAAAATTCATTATTTTCCACCTCCTGCCAGCTTCTGCTGATTACTCCAGTCTGTGCTATTAATCTTTTTCAGCTTTTACAAGGCTGTTTCTGTTAGATAAGGAATTTCCTTTTATAAACCTGTCAGCTAACCATGATGAGGCTTTATTTTGCTTCTCATTTGTTTCTGTAAGTTCCTGAACTGTCTTTGGTTATTTGCATGACTTTTATTTTATTGAGTGCTTGTAATAAATGCTGAAAGCCATGTATGGAAGGATTTTTGTACTTTTCTCTCACCACCAATGAACAGCATCCTGAAAGAGGATTTGGAATTGCAGTATCCGGAGGCAGAGACAACCCCCACTTTGAAAATGGAGAAACGTCAATCGTCATTTCTGATGTGCTCCAGGGCGGGCCTGCTGATGGGCTGCTTCAGTGAGTGTCCTCCTCTCTGCCCTCAGCCCCTGTCCTCCCCATGTTGAACCCAAGACAGGGTGCTTTGGGTGGTGTTCACTTTTGAAACTAAAAAAAAAAAAAAAAAAAACACGAAACCATTATAAAAAAGAACTTTTATATGTAGAAATGTCTTTCAGTGTATTTGAGACCTCAACGCATCATGTTTTAACAAAGCCCAAACCTTTGGGAACATCCTCACTTTGGCTGGAGAACAGTCTGTTCCATTGGGAGACAGTTACGACTGTCATAACTATCAATCCTGGGCTTGGGAATCATCTCTGAATATGGAGTATAAAATTGGTCTGCTTCACTCCCCACCCTTCCACCCCCAGTATCTACTCAACACTATTTTCTTTTTTAAAGATTTATTTATATATACAAGAACTGGGTACAATCAGAGGTGCCGGGGGGTGAGAGGATTCACCAGAGACAGAGTGGGGACCAGAACAGGCGGATTAACTGAAATACACTGCTGAGAGGAGCAGCGAGCAAATTAGGAGAAGTCTGCTGCAGCATGTGGGTCACCTCCCTGGCCGGGGATCGAACTCGTGCTGCAGTGGCTGCGGATAGCTTCATAGGTTGCGTCTTAACCCCTTGCACCACCAGGGAGGCCCATACTATCAACACTATTAATGTTTATTTTAATTTATCATCATTAAGAATTTAATGAGGACATTCTGATTTAAAGATTATCTGATTTATGAGAGGGTTGTAGAAATTGGGGAAATTCTCTACATGAGAACATGGGCTTGCCAATTGCTAGCCTTCTGGTCTGTAGAGAGAGTGCCTTTTTAAATGATGCATGCCTGAGTTTTCCCAGAATAATTTCTCAGGGCAGACTCTAAGACTGCTTGACCAGCTGTTCAAAAGTTGAGCTTGTTCTGATATATCAAGTTTCTATCCAAATTAGTAGTGTTTTACATAGAGAGCAATGTGGAATTGTAAAATAATTTTGGGGATGGGATAAAGTAAGAGAATATTGTGAACCCCAAATTTCTTAATCTGAAGCAAGCTTCCAAAAAAAGCACAGGTAGAAATACACTTACTCTGGTGTATTTGCACCAGACTTCCTGAAGCCCGTGGTGCATGTCGGGTGAGGAGGATCTGATGCAGAATTCCTTTTCTGCCCAGACCTCGTTGCTATTGTCTCCTAGGGGACCCTGTGGTTTGGGCCCTTTTCCTTAGCTGGTTTCCAGTGTCAGCTGTCAATAATGCGCTGAGTGGCTTCTGGGTTCCTTCTTCAGAAGAGCTCAACTGGGTTGGCTGAGTAAACTTGGGGAGTAAACACACACAGACCTTCAATAGCATTTCAGGGCCATTTGCTGATTCTATTTATTCCTAAGTAAATAATTTACAGTGTCAGTATTACTTTTTATTTGTTGTTTGCAGAGAAAATGACAGGGTGGTCATGGTTAACGGCACCTCCATGGAAAATGTGCTCCATTCATTTGCAGTTCAGCAGCTGAGAAATACTGGGAAGATTGCTGCTATTGTAAGTGCTGGGTTTACTTCCACCTCACCTTGATAGCATTTTGTTTTTGTGGCCAGAAAAAAAATTACCACTTGCTTTTAAGCATTTGACAGAATTGCATAATTTATGGGTGATGTTTTGATATAAAGATGTATAAGTAATACATTACTGTCTTCCTTTCCTCTTCCTCCTATCTTCTTAAGATCAATGATTATCTGATCTGACTGAGTTTGCCTTCAGAGCCAGGTTAGATGATTATTCCTTAAGAGCATTAACTGAATTGAGAACACAGGTAAAACAGCATTTATTTAGAAACAATTTCAGCACAAAAACCTTATTTGGAAAGGTCTAAACAAGATATATTGTAATAGAATTTCCTAGGAGACAGTAGCAGTCTGTAGCATACACTTAATGTGTCCACTGATTCATTCCGCACACATTGGTGAGAAGCAGCTGTGAGACAGATGTCACTTAGCCAGGGAGCCAGTCAGAGCTGCAAGGACAAGTGGATACACAAACAGTACTTCTTTTAAGCACTGTTTAAGGACAGGGCTAGGGAGATGGACTGGCCATGAGCTGTTTGTTTTTAACTTCATATTATGAAGATTTTCAAACAGAAAGAAAAATGGAACAATTAGTGTAATAAATACATATCTTCTATAATGTTAATATTTTGCCATCTTTACTAGTGCTTTCTATGTATATAAATATCTGTTTAGTGAACAATATGGAGGATGCTTACATACATATGCTGCTTATGTGTGTCCTAAATAAGACATTTCAATTTAACTCTACTGCAATTATTCTAGCTCAGAAAATTAATAATAATTCTAAAATATCACCTAATATCCAATCCATATCCCCAGGTGTCTGATAGACTTTTCCCTTCCCCATCCAGGATCAAATCAAACTCTACTCTTTGGTTCTTTTTTTTTTTTTTTAAAGATTTATTTATTTAGTCATAAAAGCAGGGCCACAGGCCAGAGATGCTGGGGCGGGGGCGTGGGGCCATGAGAGGATTCGCCAGAGACAGAGTGGGGAATAGAACAGGCAGAATGACTGAAATACACTGCTGAGGGGAGCACCTGGCGAGACAGGAGAGGTCTGCGTGCCATGTGAGTTGCTCCCTAGTTGGCTGGGGATGGAATTTGTACTGCAGAGGTTGCTGATCCCTGGCTGGCTGGGGATCAAACTTGTGCTGCAGAGGTTGCTGATTGCTTCATAGTGCCGTGCTTAAACCCTTTCACCACCAGGGACGCCCGTACTCATTGGTTCTTACCTCTTTAGTTCCTTTTACTCTGGAAGGAAGCTTTCCTCCACCCTCTCCCATCTTGCTTTTCAGTAACATTGACTTTTGGAAGAAGCTAGGGGGCTGTACATAGAATGTTTCACATTCTGCATTTGCACTTTTATAATGTAGTGATTTTTAAGTCCCTTGGTGCCTCTTGTACCCTGAGTAGAAGGGGGTTTGGGAGCTACTCTAGTTATTGGCTTGTTGGGAGGCACTGTGCTGAAAACTTAATACTCATTGTCTTAATTTACTCGCAACTCAGTGAGGTCCCTGGTTTTCAGGGAAAAAACCCTAGCTTGGAAGTTGGGAGGGTCAGGCAGTTTTATTGGAATGAGAACAGGGCTCTTAGCCACTAAATACTCCACGTTTGATTTTGACTGTCCGCCTTGCCACTGTTTGTTTTGGTGATAGGTGGTCAAGAGGCCCCGGAAGGTCCAGCTGGCCCCGCCGCAGGGCAGCCCTCGGGTGGGTGAGGATGACCGGGGTTTTGAGGTGATGGATGAGTTTGATGGCAGAAGTGCGCACAGCGGATACAGCGAGAGGAGCCGGCGCAGCAGCCACGGTGAGCGCAGCCGCAGCTGGGACGAGAGCCCCGAGAGGGTGAGGTCCAGGCCGGGACCCTCCAATAGCCGCGGCCGGAGCCTGGAGCGGGGCCTGGACCACGATGACTACCGAGAGCGTAGTCGCGGCCGGAGCCTGGAGCGGGGCCTGGACCACGATGACTATGGGCGAGCCCGCGAGCGGAGCCGCGGCCGGAGCATCGACTATGACCCGGCTTATGACCGGGTCTACAGCCCAGAGGTGGAGTATGGCCGTAGGGCCCAGCACCATACCCGGTACGAGGTGTCCCGGAGCCGCAGTCATGAGCACCTCCACTCCCGCAGCCCCAGCCCCGAGCCGAGGGGCCGGCCAGGCCAGTCGGACCCAGACAGGCCCATCGGCGTTCTTCTGATGAAGAGCAAAGCAAATGAAGGTAGTCATCCTTGATGAAGAAAAACACTTAGAGTAATAATAGCTGACTCTTATCTGGGACTTGCCATGCACCAAGCACTGACCTAAATGTTCTGTGTAGTTTATCTCATTTTCATCCTCATAACTGCCTCCTGGGGATGTTACTCTTACATCTTGATTTGATAGACAAGAAAGCTGAGGAACAGAAAATCTTACTGATTTCCACATTGAAGTTGCATGGGCTGCAGAAATTGAGCCTTAAACTACTAGGCCAGTGGTTCCATGAGCAACATAATAAGTACCACCTGTAGCTATGGAGCATCTTAGGCCGCACCGAATCGGAAACACCGGGGTGGGTCCCTGGAGTCTGTGTGTTAACAAAGCTCTCCTGATGGGCCTGGAGTATCTTAAATTGATGAAAGCACACCAGAGAACAGTACTCCAACTTATCATTATTGAATTTTTTTTTAAATATTTATTTATTTATTTATTTATACAAGCACTGGGTACAGTCAGAAGTGCGGGAGGGTGAGAGAATTCACCAGAGCCAGAGCGGAGAGCAGAGCAGGCAGACTGACGAAGTACACTGCTGAGGGGAGCAGCGGGCGACAGGAGAGGTCTGCGCGCCATGCGGGACCCTCCTCCAGTGGCCCGGGAGCAGCCGGGGATCGAACCGGCACTTAGGCTGTGGGCAGCTTTGCAACCCAGTGCTCAACCGCTGCGCCACCAGGGAGGCCCTCATGATTGAATTTTGCTCTATGCCTGGGCCTGTGCTCAGTAAATAGTCTCATTTAATCCTCACCAGAACCCTGTGTGACAGGTAGGAGACATCATTCCTGTCTTAACAGGTGGGAATACTAAGGCACAGAGATGTTTGTATGCCCCTGGATGAGATGGCTCTCACCTGGGCTGTGCGATCTGCATGTTCTCACAGTACCTGTGCACACTTAATCACATCCAAAATTTTGGAAGCTAGTAGTATCTGAAGATTATAGGTGAGAATTCTGAAAGAGACCAGTGAATGTAACCCACCTCTATTTTGAAGCTAGTAAGTAACTAGAAGAGCTCAAATTCAAACTGTCCTAGAAATAGAGGGAAGGAGATAAGGATGAGAATAAACAGGGCTTTAAAGACCAGTGTGATTTATTCCTCACATTGTCTCTTGGCTTCTGACTTTAAATTCTTTGTAATGTATCTTATATATCCTTTTGTTTTCAAATTCTTCTTCTTCAAAGAGGAAAAGAGACTAAGAGCACCCAAGAATGCAAAGTGAAAGACTTCTTGCTTTTTCAAGTTTGGAATTATAATTAAAATAGCTTATCGGGTGAGCCTGTTTGTTTCCTCTGGTGCTTCTAGAGAAGTATAAAGAGTTGAGTTACAGAGCTAGGCACCTGTTGACATGACCGAAGAATCATGCAAAGATATGAGTAATGGGGTGTCTGGAATCCAGTTCCACAAAATACAGGGGAAAGTTAGGATTGCACTACTTCTGAGGAATGTGCATCTTAGGAGGTTGTAGGATTCTATAAATCTTTATAACCACTGATAATAACATATTCATTAGCCCTAAAGAATTGCAGAGTAAAAGACATTCTGCTTCCTGATTGAGATATTTTGAGAAAGATGGTTTGGTATGAGCTTTAGAGAGGTCTGATGCTGTAGGGGTAGGATGGACACAGTGCAGGTTTTCTATCATCCCATGCAGACCAGGTAAAGGAGGAGTCATGGAGCCCTTGGTGGTTTTGCAGGCTTTTATTGGGATTTACCAGGTACATGGCAGGTAAGGGTGCTGGGGCGGGGGGTTGTTGGGAGGCTGGCAGGCAAGTCTTCACTCTATCTGGGCTCTCTGGCCTTCTCTCGCAGTCTCTCTGCTTCTGCTTCGTTCTCTGCTTCTGCTTCGTTCTTGGCTTCTCTTCTCTCGGCTTCTGCTGGTGTCCCCGTGATGCCGCCCTTAAAAGCCCAGTCTTGGCCCAGATGTACCCACTACAGGTGCCCGCCATCAGGCATGCATTGAGGACCACAGGGTTCCCTCATCTATCCTAATGGCAGGAGGGCAGAAAAGCCTGATACTTTTTACCTTACCCTACAGATGCCCATTCAGTAGGATGTGTACCCCAAGTGAGTTATCTAAGGCTGTGCTTAGAGGTACTTCACCTCCTCACTTTCTTTCCCCCCCCATTTCTTTGTCACCCCCTTCTGCTACAGAAAGAACCTCATCTTGCAGTCATGAATGTACCTAAATATCAGAAACCTGAACACGTATTCATGGAAAATACTTACTCTGTAAGGCATGAGAGGTTCTATTACATTAAATTTAAAAGTGATGATTGCAACTCATAAAATTGATTTCAGGACTCCCTAACTGATTGTGACCCATACATTGAAGACATTGTCCTCAGAGACTGCCCAAGTCCATGTGTGGTCTTAGTAATACTATTAAGAGGAAAAGGGGCTAATCCTTTTTTGAGACAATTTTACTGTCTCTGGCTAGAGGTGTATCAAACTTTTTTTTTAAGCAATGGGTACAGTCAGAAGCGTGGGAGGGTAAGAGAATTCACCAGAGTCAGAGCGGGGAACAGAACAGGCAGACTGACGAAATACACTGCTGAGGGGAGCAGCGGGCAGCAGGAGAGGGGAGCAGCGGGCAGCAGCAGCATGTGGGGCCCTTGCCCGGCGGCCGGGGATAGAACTGTCGCTGCAGAGGCTGAGGGCAGCTTCGCAACCCAGCGCCCAACCGCTGCGGCCACCGGGGAGGCCCTTTTAAGAAATCTGGCTGTGGCCAAGATCTGCATTTGATTAAGGGAAAGATGGATCTTTCATACGGCCAGCTATTATTATTCAGGGACACTAAGTAACTTTGCTGGTAAATTCTTAGAAACTGGTCAACAGATATTTTTCTTTGTTTAAGACATGTCTGCATAAAGACTAATAAAATCTGTTTACAAGCTTACAGGACTGCAGTTTTTAAGAGGTTAAAGGAATTGATATATGAGAAAGAAGTTACAGCTCAAACTTGTCTTTGCCTTCTGTCCTGGACTGTGAGAGTGTTAGGGCACGGGGAATTGCCATCCAGGAAAGAAGACACAAACTTACCCACTCTTTCTTAAGCTACCGCTTCCTAAAGTGGGTGGGGGTAGGTTTTGACACGCAATCGTTGTCTAAGATCTGAATCTAACTTGCTATCGTCACTAAAGCATCTACTCCATTACTTTTCTAAATGGTAGAAAACTAGTTTGATTTGGAACTACAAGATTTTCAGCCCAGAACAACTCATAAAATTTGTGCCTCTTTGAAAACCTGCTAGATTGTGAGAACTTTTTAAAATCATCCAAAGTCATCCTTCAGATACACATTTTTACAGATTTAATAAGTAAAATCAAAATAGTCTTAGTAATATTTAAAATATTTAAAGTATTACAATAGAATATTTTTACATTACAATACAGTAGTAGTGAATTCAGTGTTTTTCTTTTAAAAGAAAATCAAAGTTCCAACCTCCAAAAGCAATGCTGGCTTTGGTTAAATACTTTTATCACTTTGTCTGGCTTATTCGTCCCTTTCTGTACACACTGTATTTTTTTTTTTTTTTTTAATGCCAAACAGTCTGCATTGTTACAGATGAAGGTTGTGCTATTTGTTGTGTCTTCCTGTAGGCAACTGCATTGTGGGCAGAACAAGCTTATTAAGATGTACTAAACTGCCTTTTTTCCTCCAATATTTTATTTTGAAAAGTATTAATTTTATAGCAAATACTCATATAGCCTTCACCTAGTGTTACCATTTGTTAATATTTTGCAACATTTGCTTTCTCTTCCTCCTCTTTTCCCTTACTCCCTCTTCCCCACTCCCCACCCCCACAGCGGTTTTGGGAACAGCTTGTGAGTTGTAGGCAATGTGACCCTTTTCCACTACATATTTAGGCAGATACCTTACTAGGATAAGAGCATTCTCCTGTATAACTATAGTACCATTATCACACTTAAGAAAATGCGCATGATTATCCTTTTTAATATGGTACATTCATTTTTTTTTTAGATTTATTTTATTTATTTATGTATTTTTTTATTTATGCAAGTACTGGGTACAGTCAGAAGCGTGGGAGGGTGAGAGAATTCACCAGAGCCAGAGCGGGGAGCAGAGCAGGCAGAAGGACTGAAGTACACTGCTGAGGGGAGCAGCGGGCGGCAGGAGAGGTCTGTGCGCCATGTGGGACCCTCCTCCGGTGGCCGGGGAGCAGCCGAGGATGGAACCGGCGCTGCAGAGGCTGCGGGCAGCTTCTCAACCCAGCGCTCAACCGCTGCGCCACCGGGGAGGCCCAGTACATTCATTTTGTATTTGCTCAGAGTCATAACCATTCCCACTCCAGTTTGGATCTCCAATCTAGGGAAAGTCCATGCACTGCATTTGGCTGTAAGTGTCTTTTTATCAAGAACAGTTTGACTGTCTCTTTTTCATGACATTGACTTTGTTGTTGTATCCAGACCTGTTGTCTTATAAAGTGCAAAATTAATCTTTCATAAATATTTTGAAATAACCCGAAAAACTAGATTAAGTTTTCAGAACAGGTTGGTGAAATAAATATGTTTATGTTTGCCTCTTAGAGTATGGCCTCAGGCTTGGGAGTCAGATCTTCATAAAGGAAATGACCAGAACAGGTCTGGCAACTAAAGATGGCAACTTGCACGAAGGGGACATCATTCTCAAGGTGGGTGGACCAGGGCAAAGGACAATTAAAGAGCAACACTTTCATGCTTGGCTTGTAGGCTGTATGCCAGTGCCAACAAAGTCAAACTTTATGACAAAGGCTGGGAAAATCAGCCGACTGAGAAAGCTTTATAGAAAAGCCAGACTTGGAGATTTGTAATAAATGTTAGTGTTTTTTTGTTTTTTTTTTTTTTAGTCATCAATGAATACTTTTTTCTTCTTTGTTTATTTAATGTTTAAGCTCCTATTCTCTAAACTAAGGAAAGATGAGAGGGAGAGTTGGTGGTATATGAATGCTGAATATTTAATAGTTTGTGTAAACCTCTCCAGTTAAGAAACACGTTCCAGTGGTAAACCAAGCCTTCATCTAGAGCTTGGAAGTTAAATAAATTAACAGTAACTTAAGTATACTACTACAGATCTCTCACGCCGGTATTTGAGATCTAAGCACATAGGGCTATATTTAATTTAAAGGATAATTCATTTTTATGCAGGCAGTCATCCTAAAACCTGTGTCTGTTTGACTAGTTGCATGACACCTTTAAATTTTAGAAGGGTAGAATAAGAATTTTCTGTTTTGCTGTGAATAGCTGTATTGCATATAACATTATCTCATTTTTTATAAACACAGATAAATGGAACTGTAACTGAGAATATGTCTTTAACGGATGCTCGAAAACTGATAGAAAAGTCAAGGGGAAAACTCCAGCTAGTGGTGTTGAGAGATAGCAAGCAGACACTGATCAACATCCCATCGCTGAATGACAGTGACTCCGAAATAGAAGGTAAAGGGAGAGGAAGCTGTAAACTTAGCTGGAACAAGGCAGGCTGTTAGGTCCACATTCTCATCTCTAGTTAGCATAGCCATCCAGCCAGCCAGCAGTTAAATTTCTAAAGAAAGCTTCTCTTCTAAACTCCCATTCCAAAAGATAAGTGTTTGGTTGTTATTTTTTTTTTTTTGTTTTTTTAAAGATTTATTTGTTTATGCATACAAGAGCTGGGGTACAGGCCAGACATGTGGGAGGTGAGAGGATTCACCAGAGAGTAGGGAACAAAACAGGCAGACTGAAATAAACTGCCGAGGGGAGCAGTGGGCGAGACAGGAGAGGTCTGCCTCGCCAAGTGGGTTGCTCCCTGGCCAGCCTGGGATAGAGCTTATACTGCAGAGGCTGCAAATTGCTCCATAGTGCGATGCTTGATCCCTTGTGCTGCCAGGGAGGCCCTGGTTGTTATTTTCTTATCAAATTGTCGAAATTGAGTTTTCAATTTGAAATTCCAGCATTCTCTTGACTTGTAAATTAGCGTCTCAGTGGACTCTGGGCAACTAAAGCTAAAACTTATTGGTTAAAAAAAAAGGGTATATATGAGGATTTCAAAGAACTATTAACGAAACATTTTTATTTTTTATTTAAAAAGATTTATTTATTTATTTATACAAGCACTGGGTACAGTCAGAAGCGCGGGAGGGTGAGAGAATTCACCAGAGCCAGAGCGGGGAGCAGAGCAGGCAGAAGGACCCAAGTACACTGCTGAGGGGTGCAGTGGGCGGCAGGAGAGGTCTGAGCCCCATGTGGGACCCTCCTCCGGTGGCCTGGGAGCAGCCGGGGATCAAACCGGCGCTGCAGAGGCTGCGGGCAGCTTCACAACCCAGCACTCAACTGCTGTGCCACTGGGGAGGCCCCAAAACATTTTTAAATTGCTCATTCTTTTTTTTTTTTTTTTAAAGATTTCTTTATTTATTTATATAAGCACTGGGTACAGTCAGAAGTGCAGGAGGGTGAGAGAATTCACCAGAGCCAGAGCGGGGAACAGAACAGGCAGACTGATAAAATACACTGCTGAGGGGAGCAGCAGGCACGTCAGTAGAGGTCTGTCATGCCATGTGGGACTCTCTCCGGGGGCCGGGGATCGAACCGGCGCTGCAGAGGCTGCAGGCAGCTTCACAGCCCAGCGCTCAACCACTGCGCCACCAGGGGAGGCCCTAAATTGCTCATTCTTAGACTTTCTCATGTGGTTGTTTTAAAAGGTTACTGCTATTTCCAACTGAGAAGGCAATATAGAGGATAGCTAAAACGAGTAGACACTATAATAATAAAAATGATTGAATATTGTGTATTCATTGCTGAGCAATGTGTCACATCTTCTCTTTTGTGACGCTATATTCAGTGGTTGCATATGAATTGTACCTAAAATAATTGGCCAAATGAAATCTATAAAAATCGCCAGTAAGTATTCATGATATTTCCTGTTAACTGTCTAGTATTACTTTGTGCAAAACAGAAGAGATTAACTTCATAAAGTTTTAGTTATCTATCTATCTATCTATCTATCTATCTATCTATCTATCTATCTAGAGAACAGAAAAGGCGGATTTACTGAAATACCCTGCATAGGAGTGAAGGGTGAGACTGAAGAGGTCAGCTATGACAACTCCTCAAAGTTTAAAGGATTGGTTGGTTTTTAACAGGATAATGTTTTATAACCTAGTTTAATTTCCATGACATCAAAAATATAATCAGTTGGTTACTACTGAGTACAGTGAGTACAGTGAGTGAGTATAGTGAGTATAGTGAGTATAGTGAGTACAGTACAGGTAAACAAAGGGAACATGAGAAATAATCCAGCATGTCTGGAGCTTATAGTTTATTTCCTTGCTATTTAGAGTGAGGCTCTCAGTCCACCCACAGTCTCAATGTCACCAGGGAGCTTGATAGAACTGCAGAATCTCAGGCCCCACTTCAGAACAACTGTATGCTAACATTTCCAGTGGTTGTACGTACATTAAATCTTGAGAAGCACTAGTCTGTGTGATAAATATGAGCATATATGTATAGGATCCAGTAATTCATTCTGACTCTTAGTAACAGTATTGTTGGAAAGTGTGGGGAGAGAAGAACCTAAAATTCCGAATTTGACTTCCTCTTTATTAATTCATGCCTTTCCCTTCAAATGATCAGATTTGTTTCCAAGGGACAAAAATTAGACTAATAGCACTTTTACTGTCAGCTTGTCTTCCCTTTCCCATGTTTCTTACCCAGAGAAGAGTGTCACTTCTGGTGCAGGTCTTAAATATTTTATTAAGTCTTTTCTTATTTCTGAAACCAGATGTCTCAGAAATAGAGTCAAACCGATCGTTTTCTCCAGAGGAGAGACAGCAGCAGCATTCCGATTATGATTATCATTCTTCAAATGAAAAGCTGAAGGAAAGGCCAAAGTAAGCTGATGTGTATTTCCCCTTGCACACCTCACTGTGCATGGACACATACCTATTTGTGAGTCTGTTACATTGTGAGACATTAACGTGATGTGTGCTTAAGTTCAAGAGAGGACAGATGGTCCAGGATGGGCGCCACTCCTACTCCATTCAAGTCCACTGGGGACATTGCTACTGCGGTTGGCGTTGGCACTGAGATCAGCAAGGAACCCCGACACCAAGAGGAACCCCCAGGTGAGGTGCATTTTAAATAGCCGTGTTCAGGAATCTGTGCTTGGTAATTCTGGAGGCAAGCTGAAAAGAGTCTGCAAAGTTTTTTTTTTTAATTCTCATTATAGAGGAGGGACTTTTGGTATTGAATATTTTTATATGCCAATAAATTAGACCCATTTGTTATATTCAGTTAGTTGGTGGTGTCCTTTTGCTTCCCATTCCTGATCCAGCCTGAACTGCTTCTCCTTACAACACTCCTGACATGAAATGAGTGGGGCTTTTCTTCCACCCAATAATCAATTCTAGAATTCTCCAGACACTGACTGGGTGGCCTACAATTGAGTTCACGTCTGACACTGACTACCTAAAGACCTGCAAGTTAAGGCCCAGTTATCCCCCACTTCAGATGCCAGACCCAGGTCACCGCCTATGCTCAGCTGTAAATCTGGGATTTCCTTGAGCCACTTTTCATGTTTGATTATTTGTTCGAATGACCTATAGAACTCAACAGTAAGTAAAGAAAACACTTTACTTACTATACGAGGTATTTTTTTAAAGGATATAATTTATGAATAGCTGAAGGAAGAGCAAGGCATGGGGGAGGAGTATAGAGCTTCCATGTCTTCTCAAGATGTGTCACCCTCCCAGCACCTCAATATGTCCAGCACCCAGAAGCTCTCAGAACTTGGTTCAAGGTTTATGGACTTCTCACTATGCAGGCACAATTGATTAAAACATTGACCATTGGTGGTTGAGCTCAAGCTCCATCATCTCTACTCTTCAGAGTTTGGGGGAAAGGTGTTTGAAAATTTTAACCCTTAGTCATGCCTTGGTTTGTCATTCCTAGGCACCAGTCATCATTAGCATATAAAAGACATGCTTGAAATTTCTAGGGTCTTAGGAGCATCCTCTGTGAAACCTAGAACAAAGGTTAAATACGTGGTGAGTGTGGTGTGGTAACATACACCTGAGGATGCCATCCAGTTAAAACAGGAAAATAATAAATATGCGCTTAGCACACTACCCCATTCTCCTAGCCTTGCCCTTATCACCCTACAATTATCATCGTGATCTTACTTGCATAAGCATTGCACTTTTAAAAAACAGCATTATTTATATGATTTTTAAAAAGTTATCCAAAATGCCAATTTCTGTGTATGTGATTATGCACCTTGCATTTTGGAGGTTCATCTCTCCTTTATTTTGAGAAACCATGGGTACCTACTAATGCCTTAAAATTAAACTTTAAACTTTATTTTAAAAACTTACTTTTGTTTGAGTGATGACATATGTATAGTGTAAGGTACAGACTTGAAATGTTTTTGGATTTTGTCATATTAATGTTTATAGACAAACTCCTGTTAGTCCAGGTTGATAAAAATAAATGTTTTTTAATCATAGCTTCTCAACCAAAGGCAGCCCCAAGAACTTTTCTTCGTCCTAGTGCTGAAGATGAAGCCATTTATGGGTATGTATTTCAGCCACTCTTTTTTCCCCTTTTCTTCTTCCACACAGCTCTGTCTCCTTAACTAAAATTTATAAAATGGTATTTTAAAATTACAGATGGTGATTTTGCCTACCCTATTTACAAGAAAGAGAAAGTATTAGCAGGAAAAGCAAAACATGGAAGTGAATGAACTTTGTGATAATTAATTTGGCTGACTTGTCTCCTTACCTGAGTACTTTTCCAGAATGTTGTTCTGAATATTTGAATTTGCTAGATCAGTAATACCCACACAGGTGTAGTAGTATTAAGCTACACCCTATTTACTGCACTTGATAGCAAGAACCCCTAGTTCAGTGTCAAAAACTGTGGCTGCTTGGCTAGGGCCCAGCATCTGTGTGCCCAGGCTTTGTCTCCATTTGACAGGGCCCCTGTGGTGGTGGCAGCAAACTTTGAAGAATCCTGAACTGGGAGTCAGATGGCCTCGATTTTAACCCTAACCGTATCCTGTATTTGCTTCCTAATTTTTGAATGAGTGTCTCTATTTCTTTTTCTTTTTTTTAATTTTTTTTTTTTTATACAAGAATTGGGGTTCAGGCCAGAGATGCGGGGTGGTGAGAGGATTTACCAGAGACAGAGCAGGGAACAGAACAGACAGATGGACCAAAGTTTACTGCTGAGGGGAGCAGCGCGTGAGATAGCAGAGGTCTGTCCCGCCATGTGGGTTTTTCCCTGGCTGGCCGGGAATCAAACTCGTGCTGCAATGGCTACGGATTGCTTCATAGGTTGCATCTTAACTCCTGCGCCACCAGGGAGGCCCGAGTGTCTCTATTTCTATTTCTTCACTGGTAAAGTAAGCCAGCATGTATTTACCTCATACTCCCAAGGAAGATAAAACTATAGATTACGTGCAGAAAATGAACACTCTTTAAAGTATAAATCATACTATATATAGAAAAAATTAAATCTCTCAGTGGCTATTTTGATTCCCCTTTATCAAAAAAACAAAAACAAAAAACCAAAAAAAAAACCCTCCGTCTCTCTTTCCTGAATCTGAACCCATTGCAGCCCCAATACCAAAATGGTGAAATTCAAGAAGGGAGACAGCGTGGGCCTCCGCTTGGCTGGTGGCAATGATGTGGGCATATTTGTGGCTGGCATTCAAGAGGGAACCTCAGCCGAGCAAGAGGGCCTTCAAGAAGGGGACCAGATTCTGAAGGTAAGGAAAGCCTAACTGTGCTTCTAAAAGTTACTGGGGAAGAATGTGGTTTTCTAGGGATTCTTCCATAAGGGAGGGGGAGGTGGTTTGGTTGTGAAAACCAACCAGCTGCAGGTTCCTTTTTGCCAAGCAACAAGGTCTCGTCTTCTAGTAAGTTCTGTTGTCTCAATACGGGAACCAAAGCTCATCCTGATGTTTTGGGAAAGTTAAATATTTAAGGCCCTTGCAAAGAGGCCTTACTGATTTGCTTATCAAGGACATTGAGACTGTAACTTAATGTCTAGGATTTCCAGTCTTTCAAAAGTCTCTCTAATGTTTGTTTTATTTTGTTTATTCCCCTGCCTGGTTATCACTCTTAAGGCAGTTTGCCGTAATTGAGTACACAGTGGGTGTTGGTATTAGCTTGTCCTGTTTTTTTTTTTTTTAAAGATTTATTTATTTATGCATATAAGAGCTGGGATACAGGCCAGAGATGCAGGGGGTGAGAGGATTCACCAGAGACAGAGTGGGGAGCAGAACAGGCAGATTGACCAAAGTACACTGCTGAGGGTAGCAACGGGCAAGTCAGGAGAGGTCTGCAGCATCATGTGGATTTCTCCCTGGCGGGCCGGGAATTGAACTCGTACTGCAGAGGCTGTGGACTGCTTCATAGTGCAGTGCTTAAAAACTTGTGCCACTAGCGAGGCCCATCAGCTTGTCCTATTTGAACCTTGTTCCAGCTTCTCAGTTCTGTAACCCCAACTCAACCTCTGAGACTCAAGTTTCTTTTGTCTATACAAAGGAGATAAAAACTCCTGCCTCTCAAGGACCCTAGGAAGATTAGAATAGATAACACCCTTAGGCACCTCACAGAGCTCCTGGTACAAAGCAGTAAGGTCAATGTCTCTTCTTTGGTTCTCCCCCATGAGAAAATAGCAATTTGGTACCACTCTGTATTATTGACAATTAAAGTTGTCCAGGAAGAAAGGGATCTCCTGATTAATCAAATATTGGTACTTTTAAAGTTTAAATCAACTATTGGTTTTAAAGAGTTAAAAAATGATACCTAGATCAGCTTTGACGTTTTCTGACATGCATATGACTAATTTTCTGTTGACTTCACTATAGACTTCAGGAATGTCAAGTACCTCATGGTTATGAGAATACAGAATGCTGGGGAACTGACTTCATGGACATTTCTGTGTCAGTAAATTTGCAGTTTTTCTGAGAGTTTTTTTATTGTCAACTATAGTGGAAAATCTATATATAATGAACTCTGTCATAAAGAAAGGGGGTCTGGTAAGAACTTCTAGGTTTAAAAGAGAGGAAAGGAAAATAGTTGCAGAATTCCAGAGGAAACAGGCAACAGAGCACAAAACAGGCAGTTTTCGTCTTGCTGGGCTTTTGGCTCCGTTGCTGTAGTTTAGATTTCATTTCTGGAGCAGATGAAGGGCAAACCTTGATCGTGAGCTTTGCTGAAGCTTTCTAGTGACATTCTAGACCCTCTTTGGTTCAGGTCAGGATCCTAGAAGACTAACTGTACCTGAGTGAACCTCATGGGACCACATGATCCTAGGAAATACCACTTAGCAAGCACTACCGATAACAATCCCATCTAAGTGCCAGCTCATACCAGATTACTCTTGGGCTGATGCCAGGGAAGAAAAAACACATATTTCCTACTAGTGTGGAGCCCTCAGATGTCAGCTAGAAATTTGGAAGACTTGCTTATGAAAGTTTAGGGATAAAATACTTTAGTACCTTGGGGAGGGGGGAAAGGAGAGATTTTCTGAATTTTTCATGAAGAAAAATAGTGAATTCACCTAATAGCTAGACAGACTTGGCTTCTCTGTAAGTCATAAAAGGCAAATGGAATTGCTCCCACAGGTAAAAGTGGTATTTTTTGTGATATACTTTGGTGATATTCAAAAATTAATTCTTAGGACAGTGTGCCCTGGGGCCTTCCTGCTGGCTTAGGGATTAAGTCTCAGCACTATCACTGCTGTGGCCTGAGTTCGATCCCCCAGTCAGGGAACTAACACACATGGCACAGCAGACCTCTCCTGTCTTGCCTGCTGCTCCCCTTGGCAGTGTATTTCAGTAAATCCGACTGCTCTGTTCCCCACTCTGTCTTTGGTGAATCCTCCCATCCCTGGCAACTCTGGCTTACACCCCGGCTCTTCTGTGCAAAAATAAATAAAAATCTTTTTAAAAAATTAGAAAAAAGTAAAGTACGGATTTGGTTTACTAAAACACAAAAACAAAAAATAGTGTGTTCTATTTTTTACCCTGGACACAGGAAGGGATTATGGGTACCAGTCTCTATAGCAGTGATCCCACATGGAGATCGGGCAGTAGATCCCAAAAGGAGCCCTCCGTTCTACAAAGGGGAGAAGATTGAGCTCACTACTGGGGTGGAGAAGCTGTCTTATACTGTAGCTGATACAGAATCCTCTTTCGGCTCCCAGCAGACACGCCAGGCCCTGTAGACTACTGAATAGATAATGAAAGAGGATATTTATTGAAAAGGACTGTGCCACCTGACCTTCAAGTACCAAAGTGCTGCCCTGGCCCTTTGCACTTGACTTTGTCTCTTGGCCAAATGGGAATATACGTGGTGAACTAAGTACATACACTAACACTTTCTTCTGTAGTGGGTTTTTAAGTGGAGTTCTTCCTTGTGTGGCAGCCTGATATGTGGGATGAAAACATGAGTGTGCAGTCCTGTGGCAGAACACATGCCTTATCAATAACAGAAACACACACACTCCATGCTTAGCTTGTCTATCTCTTTGCTTATTATAGATCTGATATGGTTTTCGCTTCTCTTTTGGAAACTTCTGTGGGATGGAAAAGAGAAAAAGAGTTTGGTTAGTAACTATGTGTAATTTTAAAAATGTTGCCACCACTTGTGCTTTAATTTTGACCATTGTAGTTTTGACTTGATGGCCTCATGTGGCCAGAGAGCTGGACAGAGCCCCTATCTTATTTAAATAAACAAATACAAGCATTTACTGTGCATATAAAAACACACATGTGACCATCTGTATACACAGGTGTAGTTGCACAAAGGACACAGTAAAGGATTAGATACCAAACTGCTAAGATCCTTAATTGGGGTGTGGAGACAGGAAAATGGCAATTATCTTAAATGCTAAATATTGTTTCCAGGTAAAGCTGACATGATAGCCTTAGCGAACCACTTTAGTTGAGATAAGATAGCAAGTAAGTTTTAGTCTGAACTTGACTATTTTTACCTTTTTAAGTAATAAAACTCTACTCTCTGATTAAAGGATTCTACAGTCCTCATACCTAAAGAAACTATTTTTTTGTAATTTTGTGTCTTCATTTATGTAATATGTTATTAAATATTAGGTACATTAAGATAATTTGTGTTTAATTAATTTGTAATTATTTTGTTTTACCATGGCTTTAAAGAAAAAAGACAAAATGTCCTTTTCTTTGTGCCACGTTTCGATTTTACTTTGCTTTCTAACTCATCTTCCAAAGCTATTTACAGTTCTCCAACTCACTTAATGGGGAATAAATATTATGGGCTTCATGCCAAAAATGTGTGGCAGAAGCTTAAATGTATATAGGCTAATATATTAGGCTAATAGCCACATAGATGAATGTTCTTCAATTTCATAAACATGTTGAACACTTTTAGGTGGCAGCAGCTGTAAGAGAAAGGTGGAATTGGTTAGAATCTTTATTTTCTGGCATTTATTTGAACCAATTTTAAAACAGCGTTAATGCCTTTCTTAAACTGGTCCAGCATACTTGTTGGCCAGAGACCCCAGCATTCCATTAGCATAGTTACAGGTTTCCAAGTTGTATGTTACCTCCCTGGCCACCTCTGTTGGGGACTCAAAGGAGAGAGCCCCAAGTAGAACCATGAGGAATTCTAATCTGATCCAGAGGCAAGTCCCTGATGCAATGGCAGAGTCTAAGCGATGGGCAGTGTGGGGAGGCAGGAAGGTGTGGAGACTCGCACGCAGCCGGGCCCTGGCAGGACACAGGACTTGAGCTGGGACACTGCACATATCTTCATATCTGGGATTTGCTCTGGGCCACCCCTGTTGAAATCAGATGAAAAGCTCAAGTGGGGCCTCCCAGGTGGTGCAGTGGGTTGAGGGCCATGCTGTGAAGCTGTCTGCAGCCTCTGCAGCACGGGTTCAATTCCTGGCTGGCCAGGGAGCAACCCACATGGCGCGGGCAGCAAACCTCTCCTGTCTCCCCCGCTGCTCCCCACAGCAGTGTCTTTGATCCATCTGCCTGTTCTGCTCCCCATTCTGTCTCTGGTGAATTCTCTCACCCTCCCGTGCCTCTGACCTGTACCCCAGTTCTTTATAAATAAATGAATCTTTAAAAAAATAAAAAAGAAGAGCTGAAGTGGCCCCTTGTTGTAAACTTCTTTTTTGTCTTTTTTTCCATGTTTGCTCTTCTTATCAGGTAAACACACAGGACTTCAGAGGGCTGGTTCGGGAAGATGCTGTTCTCTACCTGTTAGAAATTCCAAAAGGTGAAATGGTGACCATATTAGCTCAGAGCCGAGCTGATGGTGAGCATGTTTCATTGTTAGTTTAATGATGAAGAGAGTGGGGAGGTTGGGAGAGGTTATCTTGAGACCGGAATAGACAAAGCTGGGTAGTTAAATAAAAGTGGGTCTTGACACCTAATTATCTGGGTCACAGTTATGTGGAGGAAAGTGGATAGGTACCATTTAACTTGATAGAAATGTTTTCTATGCACCCACTGAAATATCTGCACTAGTTAAATTTACTTTTCTGAACAGTGAGCCATAATTTTCCATATGACAGATGCAGAGGGCCATGCCTCCTAGGTGGCTCCCACATTAGCCCTTATCATGACAAATGGCTCTACCTTTCTAAGCCTTATACTCACCTGTAAAGTGGGAGTTGATAGTATCTTCTCTTTCCGAGAGTTAATTGGCAACACATCAGGTTTCTCCAGAGAAACAGAAGCCATAGTATGTTTGTATATTGTACATTACTTAAAGTACACACACACACACACACACACACACACACAGAGATTATTGTAAGGAATTGGTGCTTGCATTTGTGGAGGCTGGCAAGTCCCAAGTTGTACAAGGTGAAGTCTGCAAGCTGAAGAGCTGCTGATTTGGTTGTAGTACAAGTCTTGAAGTGTAGGAACCAGGGAAGTTGATGGTATAGTTGCAATTTGAAGGCTGGGGGTGGGAGGCCCAAGACCAGCAAGAACAGATATTTCATTTGGAGTTTGAAGGCTAGAAAAAGATTGTTGTACTAGTTCAAAGTAAAGAACAGTTTATTTTCTCTCGCTTAAGGGAAGGTTCACCTTTTTGTTCTATTCAAACCTTCAGCTGATGGAAGAGTTCCATCACATCAGGGAGAACAATCTGTTTTATTCGGTCTACTGATTTAAACATTAATCTCATCCAAAAATATATCCTCACAGACACACCCAGAATAGTGTTTGGCTAGAGATAAAGTAAACACATAAAATTAATCATCACAGAAACTCATAAATGTGCTATTTGTCTTCCTGTTTGAGCTGTGATTCCCACAGCCCAGTACATTGAGTCCACTAACTGAAGAGAAGTAAAGAGGGTGGTCAGAGATAGCAGAAGCTGTTACCTTGTCAAATAAGATCTTTGGCTAAGTTGAATGCAACCTTCAATGCTCTTTCTTTTAGTGTATAGAGACATACTGGCTTGTGGAAGAGGGGATTCATTTTTCATACGAAGCCACTTTGAATGTGAGAAGGAAACCGCACAGAGCCTGGCCTTCACCAGGGGGGAGGTTTTCCGAGTGGTAGATACACTGTACGATGGCAAGCTGGGCCACTGGCTGGCCGTGAGGATCGGAAACGAATTGGAAAAAGGCTTAATCCCCAACAAAAGCAGGTATCTGAGATCACATGTTCCCACACACTGCTGTTAAACCTCACTCGCTCCCAAAAGGAAGTCCCCCTTGACTTCATTGTGTGTAACCATGGTCCTCTCCCCCCATCCTCTACTTGTTATTGTGAAGTGATCTGGAACTGTGGACTAGCCAGTAGCTGGTTTGTGGTGGGTACTTAGCATCACATGGTTGGTTGCTGCACTTGGCTGGCACTTTCCTAGAGTGCCCACTACCAAATTTGAGCCAATACTTAGTTGCTGTAGCAGATCAGCTGACCTCTGAGACAATTCGCCCTTGTCTGGTGCCAAGCCCTCGTCCTTAGAAAGGGCATTGCGACCCTAGTGGGTGCCTGTTGATTGGCTGACAGTGGGGAGACCAAGGAAGTATAACTACTTTGGCAGGGGTTCCAGTATGTTTGCTGTGCAGCAGCCTGTGAGAATGGGCTTCCTTTAAGTGTTTATTCTCAGCTGCTTCTGGTGGATTTTATGTGCTCTGAATTTTTTCTGCTTCCACTGGGAAGGGGATATCATCACATTTCCCATGCTGTGAAGCTTCCTCATCAAACTGCATCTTCTCTAATTCAATCTCAGAAGTAAAATGGACTGATTTCACTAGTGACTGCCATTGCCTGATTGCAGAGATTTACTTCTTGTGGTTTCTCCTCTTAGAGCTGAGCAAATGGCCAGTGTTCAGAATGCTCAGCGGGACAATGCTGGGGACAGGGCAGATTTCTGGAGAATGAGAGGCCAGAGATCTGGTGTGAAGAAGAACTTAAGGAAGAGTCGGGAAGACCTGACGGCTGTCGTGTCTGTCAGCACCAAGTTCCCAGCGTATGAGAGGGTTTTGCTGCGAGAAGGTAAGGAAGCCAAAGGGCACCAGGAAATGGTCTGATTGGGCTCCAGGCTTGTTTTCCTTCATTTTCAGACTTTAATAGTTAAGTTCAAACTTATTAATGTTGTAATAAGTTTAATGAACACTCATATTTGAACTAAATTAACTTAGATCAAAGACAGGTTGTACAATTGGAATCATATTCAAACATGAAACAAGACTTACCAAAAAGTGAGTTATGCAAACTCCTGAATGGGGGTATATTTCTACAACCTCACTTATTTCTTTCTTTATTTTTTTTTAAAGATTATTTTTATTTTATTTATACAAGAACTAGGGTCCAGGCCAGATGCGTGGGAGGGTGAGAGGATTCACCAGAGACAGAGTGGGGAACAGAACAGGCAGACTGGCTGAAACACATTGCTGAGGGGAGCAGCGGGTGAGACAGGAGAGGTCTTCCACACCATGTGGGTTGCTCCGCGGCTGGCATAGATCAAACTGGCACTACAGAGGCTGCAGACAGCTTCACAGCGCTGTGCTCAACCACCTGCGCCACCAGGGAGGCCCACTTATTTCTTTAATACTATCATTCAAAAGTCTTCATTTATTGAGTATAGCAGAGTTTATCTATAATAATGGTGAGGGGGTGAAGGCATATTCTTCAGTGAGGAGCTGGGCTGAATTAAGGGTGGGAGAGCACACCATTTCTTTCATGTAGCTGTGTTATCAGTCACCTGTGAAATGCTTTTCTTCCTATCTTAATAACTATAGATAACTAAGGAATTTTATGTGTTCTCATGGCCTTTCTTGTCTCATTTCAGCTGGTTTCAAGAGACCTGTGGTCTTGTTTGGCCCCATAGCTGATATAGCACTGGAGAAGCTGGCAAATGATTTACCTGACCTGTTCCAAGCTGCTAGTAAGTCTGTCAGTGACATGATCTTTTCAAATTTTATTTAGGAAAATATCCAACATATAGAAAAATTGAAAAAATAATGAACAGTCATATACCTTCACCAGTCACTGTCACCAGTTCTTAATATTTTGCCATATAGACTCGTATACACACCTTCCTTCAAATTTCTCTTTTAAAAACTTTTTCACTGAACTCACATTTGTTTATCACATTACATAGGTGTCCATCAGATAGCATTATAAATCAATCTCTGTATGTATACATATAACCACCTTTATCTAAAATCCTTCCTTCTGATAACCACTCTTTGTTCTTATACACTAAAAGTTTGTTTTCCTTTTGTTTACTCATCAGCTTTTTTTCTTTATAAATTTCTATCGAACTATTTGAAAATTTGGCTTTTGGACTTTGCTAATAACACTTTTTGCCACTATGAATCTCCTAAGAGTAAGGAGATTCCTCTACACAACAATACCATTCCTCAATCAAGAAATTTAACATTGATGCAATACTGATGTATAGTATAGAGTCTGTTTTTCAGATTTCCTCACTTGTCTAACATGTCCTTATAACATTTTTTGAAATTCAAAATGCAACAACGGATCATGTACTACGCTTGATTTTTTTATGACTTTCTCTTTCCCTCCTTTTTCTGAATTACTTTATGACATTTATAATTTGAAGAGTCCAAGCCAAGTGTCTCATAGGTTGTTCCCTGTTGGACTGGTCTAATTCTTTCTGGCTAGATTTCAATTAAATGGGTAGTGTGGCTCCTTCCCATTGCCCTTATCAGGAAGCACGTATGTCAGGTGTCCCATCATTGGTGATACTAGCTTGGAATATTTGATTAGTCGCTGATTTCACCCTTTTTATTGACTTCTAGAAACAGAACCGAAAGACGCGGGATCTGAGAAATCCAGTGGGGTGGTGCGTTTAAATACCGTGAGGCAAATTATTGAACAGGTGAGCCGCAAACCATGTTGTCAGAAAGAATTGGGTCATGGTTTGCCGTCTTGTCTAGAATAGAATCTCTGTATTAATAATCATTAAATGTTAATGATAAAAAATGAATATATCTATAAGCTGTGTGGAAACCAGTCACAGTTCTGTGTTGGTTTTTTTCAGAGTTCTCAGCATTGTACCAAATAACCTGTTATTTGATTTTGTCAGAAGTACTAACAGGTTGGTAATATTAAAGTGGACATAATGTGGAGAGAAACATTTTCTGCTTTTTTATTTGTTTTTAAATTAAATTTTATATTTATTATTTAATTATAAGTTTTATTATATTCAGCCTTTATTAAGACAAACTCTTTGATACTGTATGTATGACTTTACATACATATTTACATAACCTTTTCCCACTTCTGACAGAATAAGCATGCGCTATTGGATGTGACTCCAAAAGCAGTGGACCTGTTGAACTACACTCAGTGGTTCCCGATTGTTATTTTTTTCAACCCAGACTCTAGACAAGGTGTCAAAGTCATGAGACAGAGGTTGAATCCAACATCCAACAAAAGTTCTCGGAAGTTATATGATCAAGCTAACAAGCTTAAAAAAACTTGTGCACACCTTTTTACAGGTAAGTGAAATTTAATGTGTGGTCTCTTTGTCCAAAGGAGAGATACCGAGAGTGGAAGACATAAGAAAATAATACGAATGGAGAATAGTGATCAAAATCCTAATGATGACTCTTTGAAAAGTAGTTAATCCTCTACAATGGGAATATTAACCCAGTGGCATTTGTATATTTACCTTTGCAATTTTGACTGTTTCCAAATGATTGTAAAGATCTGTGACATGCTGGTTATTTCACTGAGGTTCAAATTTTTGTGGGTGTCTGAAAGGCTGGTGAGCCTAGCATACCACACAGTACCCACATCTTTGTACAGACTACTAGATCCTTGACGGCTAGGACTGTCCATTATCCAGTTCTTTGTGTCTGAGGAGGCCAGCATCATTTACGTGAGGCATAAGTGTTTGTAACTCCAGTAGAACTGCCTCTGGCACTCCAGGCCAATGCTTGCCTGACCAACTCAGGAAGTCAAAGGTTTCAGGGTGACTGAAGTCCAAGAACAGGACAGGGATGTAGATACTGAGTGTGGAATTCCATCTGGAACTTTGAAATGAGCTGCTCTCACCATGGTCTCATCAGTCTCCAGCCTCTTGTATGGAATCATATAGTCTTCAGGACCTTAGTGGAACAGCTTTGACCAGTAAACTCCAATTGTCTACCAAATGGCCTTTTACAATGTTCTTCCATACTTGTAAGTTTGACTCTTCAAAGCTGTGTGGATTACTACATGCCTTCTGTTCGCCGTGTCTCACGCAGCCTGACCATGTTGCAATGTGAGTGTGTGTGCTGTGGCCAGAATCAAAGGTTCTTTTCATGATTTTACATTTGTGAGTTGTTATAAACTAGTAGGTGGGAATAGTAAGGCTGCTGTGAGGAACACAATAATTTGAAATCAAGGATTATGTTGCATGTAGGCTCACTGAGTTCAATAATCTTTTTCCTCATCACACAGTAACAAAACATTTCCATTTTCATAGATGAGTATTTAATGAGGACATTATGTAAATAACTGTCCTGGTAGTCTAATGGTGCTCCTCAGCTCAGTGGAGATGACATGGGAAACTTTATTCTGAGATTTGCCCAAAAGCTACTTGACTTGTTGACATAAGTTGAAATGTTAGACTGCCTCTTCCCCATCTGTTAAATCATTATTGAAAACATCTTACAAAAGTTATTTTTAAGTGCTTCCTTGGTGGTACTGCGGGTTAAGTCTCAGCACTATGAAGCTATCTGCAGCCACTGCAGCATTAGTTCAATCCCCGGCCAGGGAGCTACTCACATGGTGCAGCAGACCTCTCCTGTCTCACCCGCTGCTCCCCTCAGCAGTGCATTTCAGTCAGTCTGCCTGTTCTGTTCCCCATGCTGTCTCAGGTGAATCCTCTCACCCCACACACGCACCTCTGGCCTGTACCCCAGTTCTTGCATGCATAAATAAATAATAAATCTTTTTTAAAAAAAGTTATTTTTAAAACATAAAGCTTGAGTTCCATGTTTCTTGGAATTCCTGAAGCACTCATTTCATGATTGAAGGACCACTGACATGGAATTAAGCACTTAGAGATCCACGTAGGGATACACTTTATGAGCAAATAGGGAATTTTAAGAGCACCACAGTATATTCTAGCACTTAGAGCAGTTTTCCTCATTCTTGTTAAAGTGAAATTTGAGCAGTTCAGTACTGGGACTTTGAAAGTATTGAACAAATGCTAGTGATTATTATTAGACATATTACTTTAATAGTGATACTGTTAGTGATCTTATATATTTAATCTTTCAGTATTACGTACTGTTAAAAACAAACAAAAACTTGTGTCATTATGTGGTCAGAAAAAGCTTGAATGGAAAAGTGACTTTTGTACGAGTTGGAAGAACCCAAACTGCAGTCGGCAATTTTTGGTTTCTTGAGGGGGAGGGTAGAAACTGGTAACCACAGGAAACAGATGAAAGATGCCACAGTCCCTGGCCAGGCAGGGACTGTTTGCTGTTTAGAGGGGTCCCTGCCACACAAATAGTTTCATTGAGATTTAATTTACGTGCCCTACAATTCACCCATTTAAAGCGTATGATTTAGTAGTTTTTAGTATATTCAGTTATACTACCACAACCACAATCAACTTTAGGACGTTTTTTTCACCCCAGAAAGAAACCGCATACCCATATGCAGGCACTCTGCAGTTTCTCCTAACTCCTCCCAGCCTACGTGACACCTTTTGCTGTTGCTCTTGGCACTGCCCCACCTTGTGGGCTGGGGAGAGAGTACTGACCTTGTGCCAGGGAGGGACATGGATGCCCTCTGAGTCCCAGGACCACAGCCAAGCAGAGGATGTGGAGGTCTCTTCACTATTTCTCCACAGAGGCAGGAGCAGTAGGAATTCACTAATGTGGTTGCAAGTCCAAGTATCTGAAAAACCTAATGCTCAAAATCCAACAATAAACGAAAGGTACTTTGGGAAGGCAGTGTCATGGTTGTACACCCTCCTGTTAAAAAGAGGCCAAGTGCCTAAGTCGGATATTATCATTATATGGGGCTTTGAAAATTAGCTACTGTGAATTTTTTCTTTTCTTTGTCATGTATGTGATTCAATGTGAATTCAGTAAGAGGCTTTCTGACTTTTTTCATTTTATCAGGCAGCATGAATATATTTTCCACATTTCATAAACAGCCCATTTTAAACTTGGTTTTCCTTATGGTAAATACAGGCTAAATTTATATCAAATATTTCCATCATACAGGTTAGTATACTGTGTACATTGAATACAACTCACCTAGTTGGTCTCTGGTGTCACAGTCTCACTTCTGTACTTGGCCAGGAGCACAGTAGTCTTTGCAGAGTACCACAATAAGGAGAGAAAGAATCCAGATTATTTTCCTTGAGTCGCCCAATGTATCAGTTTATTCTAATGCTGTGAATAATTAATAACCAAGGGAACTCTAAGCTCATTCAGGATTTTTCAAGGTCGGTGTTTGAACTTCTTAAATGTAAGAAGGGTTTGTATTACTAGGAAGAAATTTTGAAGCATAATTGCTTATAAAATTTGCTGAATGTTTGTTTTCAGTATGTATATAGAATTAAACAGACTTCAAACTTCATGCAGCAGGATACCAAGTATCCTTTACCAACAAGCCCGATTTTCTTTTGGGTGATCTACTTAATACAGTAAAAGCCCACAACAAAGTAGTTTTTAAAAATCCTAATTTATCTGAACATTTTAGGCCCAGATTTGTTTATCTGGTTTATCCTCACGAGGTCCATTAATACATATTGCAGAGACATGATGGCATATGTTTTACTTGGCTGGAACTTATATCAGTGCTCTAAATCCATGTGTTCAGATGGGCTGTGTGGTGCAGTGGCTAAGGCCACAGGCTCCAAAAGCAAACTTCTGAATTTGTGTTCAGGCTTTTCCACCTGGCTTAGTGTGAAGCCTTGGGCCAGTTTCACTGCTGTGCCCTGGCTTCTGTTATGCAAGATGGTGATAATAGCAGTGCCTACCTTGTAAGGTTTGTGTAAGTATGAAATGAACTAATCTGTTGAGGGTTTTTAGAAAAGTATGTGTTTGAGCCATTGTAAGTACTACCATCTAAGATGTTTTTTGTTCTGAATAGAAAACGTATATTCCTTGAATATATCCTGTGGAGTTTGATTAATCTGTTTGTGTATTCTGAAATGTCTAAGCTTATCAAAGTGGTATACATTTAAATGTTACTTTTAGTATTTTATAGGTGCTATCTAACATTATATTAATATATATTTTCTTATTTATAACATACATGTCAATGTAATGATCTTTTATATTTAATTTAGATGTGGATGTATTATTTTTGTTCCGAAAAGCATACTCTAAAAACATTTTTTCAAGATAGCTTTTCTGATTCTAAAAAGGAATTCTAAAAAGGAATTACAGACCTCTCTCGGTAACTGAAGGGCCTTGGTTCCAGAAACCACCCCCCTCCACACACACACCTCCATGTGTATCAAAAGTTACAGATGCTCAAATCCAATCTGTAACATGGCATAAGATTTTTTGTATAAAATCTGTGCACATCTTCCTGCACAATTTAAATCACCTCCAGATTGCTTCCAATACGGAAAACAATGTGAAGACTATGCTATGCTGTATTATTTAGGGAATAATGACAAGAAAAGTTTGTGTACATGTTCAGTACAGATACAGCCATTGTAGGACTCATGCTTTTGATCCATAGTTGTTCATCCGGCAGTGCAGAAGCTCTGGTAGCATGGCTGAGTGTAACCCATTTTCACCTCTGCCACATTCATCTGCAGGGTGAGCTCCAGCAGCTGGATGACTAACCATTTTAATTCATTCAACTAAAAGGGATCTAGTGTTCAAATAGGTGCAAACATTGACTTGCATTTGCCAACATCCTTTTTTTCCAAAATCTTAATTTAAATGAGAGAAATTAGTATAAATTATATCAAATAGCATTTTTAATAAAAATTATTTTGGAAATTGACACAAACCTTTTGTTGTTTACATCCTGTAGCTACAATCAACTTAAATTCAGCCAATGATAGTTGGTTTGGCAGCTTAAAGGACACGATTCATCATCAGCAGGGAGAAACAGTTTGGGTCTCTGAAGGAAAGGTATGTGGCATAGTGACTGCTCGGAGGTGAGAGTGCGTGTTCTGAATCTTCTCTCAAGAGGGTAGTGAATGTAGTAAAACCAGGCCCATTTGAAGTGATTCCAGCCTATGTGTTCATCAATATTTGCAATTTTGTACATACTCAGAAAAAGTACTACAATGTTGGGGCTTTCAAAAGAAAAGCAGAGTGTGATGTCTGCAACCCTACATTCACTTCCCTTTTACTTTTAACGTAGTAACTAGTGTTGTGTTCCAAGCACACTAATCAGAGCTTACAAGACCTTATGCTGAACTCCACAGCTTGCTAAGGACATGGGAAACTCAGAGTGGAGGTGAGAGGGGAGGCTGAATAGCATGGAGAACATGGTTAAAAATTAATAGAAGAAAAGCTCATAGAGTTGGGAATATTTGCTTAGAAAGAAGGTTGGTAAAGAATGTGTCTTAGGAGTTTGAGTACGTGATAAGAGGGGATTAGAACTTGTTTAGACTTCTAAAATTGGCTAGCTTCTCCTCTGTGAAGGTAGTTTATGCACAGCCCTACTGCAGGGAGAAAGGGAAGAAATGATACAATTTCCAAAAGTCAGCTGACTTGAGATAGTCTGCAAGGTGTTTACAGGTACAATTTTGTTACAGAAATGACTCCATCTCCAATTTGATTATTGAGTCCTAGTCTTGCTCTTTGGGAACTGCATGTTCAGTCACTATGTCTCATATCTACTGGGTGCTGACACCTGCTGAGGCTCTGTGGTGGCCTCCATGTGAGAATAAGTTATCAGGTCATAGCACCTCAAAGATGTGAGAGCTTTGTTGAAAGAGTGGTGAGATGTGTGCAAGCCGGCTTGCCTTACTACCAGAAACAAGCACCAGGAGGAGAACCAGGAGAGCACCCAGATTCTGGAGGAAAAGCACTGCCATCTGAGGAAGCGTGGCTCAGGAGTGGCATATGAGGCAATGGCAGCAAGGGTAGATAAGGTGGAGGGCACTTATTTCAGTCCCTGCATAGAAATTAACCCAGTAATTTAAAGCCACGTGATTTGAGGAAAACAAAGTGACTTCCCTTTCTAGACTATGTCAAGGTTTCCGTCACTTGGCTGCGTCCTTGGGAATTTTCTTGAGTCCTCACTCCCAGGAGCCGTACCAGACCCCACTGACCCTCAAAACAAATTCCTCTAGATGGAAGGGCTGGATGATGATCCCGAAGACCGCATGTCCTGCTTAACTGCCATGGGCGCGGATTATCTGAGTTGTGACAGCCGCATCACCAGTGACTTTGAAGACACCGACGGTGAAGGAGGCGCCTACACTGACAATGAGCTGGATGAGCCAGCTGAGGAGCCACTGGTGTCTTCCATCACCCGCTCCTCGGAGCCGGTGCAGCATGAGGAGGTGAGGTGAGGCAGGCCAAAGACTGCGAGGCCACGGGCAGGCAAAGGAGGTTCTGGTGTTTCACTCGAATTCTTCTGGAACCCTGAGTCTTGTTCAGGGTGCTATGGAAGGTATTCCTAAGGGTTGGAGCAGGTGACTTCTAGGGAGGCGCTCATTCCAAGTCAATCCTGTGTGATGGAGGCTGTGGTCCACGGGGAAGAGGGCCAGGGACTAAGTGCTGGGAGAGGTTGAGTGGTCAGCATGTATCTTACCATCCCCTTGGGCGTGATGGATGAACCAAGTGGCTTTATGTGCTGCCTGTCCAAATTATAAGTGGAATGTTATTTTAAAATACGATGTTGTATTTACTTGTAACCTTTGATTAGGTCTCTCTCTCTGTACTCTTAGATTCCTTGCTTTTTCTTCTCCTCCCTACCTTTAACCTTTCTAATCTTGCTGAAGCTCTTGAGAGTTTCCCCATCAGTTTCCTTCTCTTTTATGTTACAATTTTTTAATTCAGTTCATGATCACAGATACTATGCATTCACTAGCTAGTAAATAGAAAGCTTCTGATCCTAGAAATCACATAGCTAGGCACTAAATTAGGACCAGAGTAATTATTAGTTGTGCCTCAGAGAACATTGGAATAATGATTTATATAGATGAGATTATCCATGTTTTTGGATAATTATGGCTGTGGCCTTGCCTTTAGCAATTTAGCTCATTTCACTGATTGATTTTATTCCTTTTAAAATAAAAAACACCGAGAAAATAAGTAAAGAGTAGGAAAACGCACCATGACAAAAAAAAACTTAGTACATACTGTTGAGCAAATTCTAAAGAATTAATTAACTCTGAAATGTCAACAGATAGAAATGAGCTCATGCTTTAAAATGTTAGCAACTCTTACTGACTAAGAGTTTAGATTTAGGAGGAACTTCTTTTAAACTTGTTTTGTTGTACTTTAAAGGAAGAGATTACTGCAATGGATACAGCCAGTTTTGTTATTTTCTTAATATTTCTTAAGCATTTATATATAATAGGAAGATGCCTGGTATCTCCCTTTTAAGTAAAGAAGCAGTGGTTCACAACCTCTGCTTTTGAACTTACTCTACCAGTTGGCAGAACTCCAGCAAAGCAGACAAATGCTCTCTTTTCTCTGCTGGGATTTTCTTGTTATGAATGAACCTTTATGTCTTGTAGAGCATAAGGAAACCCAGCCCAGAGCCACGAGCTCAGCTGAGGAGGGCTGCTAGCAGAGATCAACTTAGGGACAATAGCCCGCCCCCCGCATTCAAGCCAGAGCCGCCCAAGGTATGTGGCTGGGAAGACCAGGATGGGAAGACAGAGGAAGCAGGTGCCCCTGGAGCTCCCGGCAAGCAAGGGAGGAGGAGCACACACAGATGGTGTTATGTTTTTAACTCATGGAGCCAGTCTTTTGGCCTGTTGGTTGGACCCCAAAATTAGGGAAAAGCAAAAAGATAGGAGGGAAAGGCAGTTTAGGAGAACAAACGATTTCAGGACTGTTAAGCATTTTAAAATTTTTTTTTGGTGAAAAGAACAAAAGTTTGACAAATACTGCATGCCCAGAATCATTAACCTTGGAATCTATTTTTCTTTTTCTGTCCAATTAAAATTTTCTGCCCAGTAATCTGGTTTAAATGCACCAGAAAATCCTTACTGGTGATTTGCTAAAGAAAACAATCACTAGCAATTGTTTATAATGCCTCTCTTTATGAATAGCATAACTAATTTTGAAAATAAATCATTATGCAGAACAGAATCAATATAAAGACAGCCAGTCATATGTCATATAATTCTTTACCTTTCCCTGAATCAAAATTATGACTTTTCCCCCTTAACACCCCTCTCCCCCAATTCTCTGTTTAAATCAATACTTTATGACAAGAAAGTAAGTGAGCCAGCAGGAGTAGTGGTTTTAGGAAGTGTATCAGTGAAAATCGGGGAGCAAACCTCAGAAGTATATGTGAAGGGGAAGTGACCCTTAGCATGAAACGTTGCCCACCCCATCCCCACCCGTCTGCGTTGCTTCTGCCTGGACACCAGCCTCACTTCTGGGCCAGGGCAGCTCCTGTCTGTGGGGCATGAACTTGGGAGCCCACTTATCAGGTGTTAAGCCTGCCTTATCTTGAGGTCTTCTCCAAGATTCTAATCTCCTCTATGAAATGAAGGTCTAATTTACTTCTAGCTCTGGGATGCCTCTCGGTTTCCTGGAGCTCTTGAAAGTCTTCTGGAGGAAGCAAGTTAGGGCTCAGGATAACCAACCAGTGGCTCAGTGCCTTAAGTTCTTTGATTCCTCGTTGGAATGGTATTTGTTGCCCACCTGTGGAAACTGATCAGGAAACGGAATGTATTAAATCACTAATACAGATATGAAAATAAACCAAAAGCCCAAGCTAAAAACATGTCATTGCTCTCCACAGGCCAGAACCCAAAGCAGAGAAGAATCCCTTGACTTCTCCAAACCCCAGGAACACAAGTCAAACCCCTCAGTCGTTGCTGGCAATGATATTCCCGGGGCATCTATGAAAGGTTATCCCCCTCCTGTGGCAGCAAAACCTTCCTTGGGGAAGTCGATTCTGAAACCGTCCACTCCCGTCCCTCCAGAGAGCGAGGAGGTGGGAGAGGGCAGCGAGGAACAAGACAACACTCCCAAGTCTGTCCTGGGCAAAGTGAAAATATTTGAGAAGATGGATCACAAGGCCAGATTACAGAGAATGCACGAACTCCAAGAAGCACAGAATGCAAGGGTACTTGTTTTTAAACCACGGGTTTGTCTTTGCACTCAACAATAAGGGTTTTAAATTGGTTGCAGTTCAGTGTAATGGATTTGCAATCCTTTCTCCAGTGCTGCCTGTGTACCAGGGATGTTCACATGCATGATACCAAAGGCGTGTCTTGCATGGTGTCGCTGCCTGCTCTCCATGCAGCCTTTTTCCTTCAAATTAAGAAAACTTACCAGGTCCTCCCTGGTGGCCTAGGGATTAAGTCTCAGCACTGTCACCACTACTGTGTGAATTTGATCCCCAGCCAGGGAGCTGACCCACTTATGGTGCAGCAGACCTCTCCTGTCTCTCCTGCTGCTCCCTTCAGAGGTGTATTTCAGTCAGTCTGTCTGTTCTTCTCCCCACTCTGTTTCTGGTGAATCCTCTCACCTTCCCACACCTTTGGCCTATAGCCCAGTTCTTCTATGCAAAAAAACAAAAACAAAAAATACACCACCTACCAATATGGATGAATATGGTTCTACTCTTTGTACTTCAGGACTTTGCATCAGGTTCTAAGATGTGGACGTGTGACAAGAGACTCAGTGCTTCTGAGAAGTTATTTTTCTTTAAAGTAATTGTAATGATTGGTAATGGAGTTTTACTTTTCTCCCAAATTTGCCATAGAAGCCAACAGACTTTGTATACTAAAATTGAAAAAGGCCCAGAGATGGTCCTTTTTGATACCATTTTAATTTTTTGTGACGTGCATATAAAACCTTTCAAAGTCAAAGAGGAATTTAAGAAAAATCAGTGGAGAATGACTGATTTTTTTTTGTTTTCTTCCTTCAAGTCTGTGATAACAACAGTAGTGCCTCTGAGCACTGTTCTTTGTGTGTGTGGTAAAGTGCACATAATATAAAATTTACCATTTTAACCATTTTTGGTATTTATATTAAGTACATTTCACATTCTTGAGCAACCATTACCACCATCCATTTCCAGCCCAGCTATTGAATACTTATTTCTCATTTTCCCCTCCTGCAGCCCCTGGTAACCCCACTCTTACGTTCTGTAAGAACGTAACATGAACAAGGTTGGGGTTACAACATCAGTGTTCTCCCCGCCAAGTTGATAACCCACACAGTTGATAACCCACACGTAACTCAACTCCTCCAAACGTTTACTGATAATCTGCCATTGATAACAGAAACAATTAGCACATTCTGTGTATTCTATTTATTACAGATTGTGTTCTTACAATAAAGTATGCTAGAGAAAAGATCATGTTATTAAGAAAACGTAAAAATACATTCACAGTACTATAATGTGTTTATCAATATCATCAGTTTATATCATCTGTCTAGAAGAAAAGCCACATGTAAGTGGATCCATGCATTTCAAACCCATGTTGATTTGCTGTTCTTAGGAACCTCGCAGGACTGGAATCATACACTGTTTTTTGTCCTTTGGTGACTGCATTATTTCACTCAGCATAATGTCCTCAAGGTTCTTCATGTTGTCACAAGTGACAGGATTGCATTCCTCCTAGACATTTTTTCTGTGTGACTTGTACCCCTAGGCATCCCATACAAGCATAGAAACTAGAGAGATGCTTCCATTTTTCCTCATTTGGCAATGGGGTAGGAAGAGGGGCCTGTGGGAATCAGCAAAGTGGCCATCCAGTGGTTCATTCTTCATTTTTGTTCTTTTATTTCTTTATCATCACAGATCGAAATTGCTCAGAAGCATCCTGACATCTATGCAGTTCCAGTCAAAACACCTAAGCCTGAACCTGGCTCACCCCAGTACACAAGGTAAGGGCTGCTTGGCACCTATGGGTCTAAAAGGGGGCCTGGTTAGGGCTTGGATTCCTAGGGCAAGAATTTTCTTCACCTCCCTTTCAGAGCAACAAGAAAATTTGGTTCCCTAGTGAACTATTTAGGTTACTCATTCAGTCAAATTTAATTGCAACAACCACTGAGTCAAAATTTCTTGGGAGTTTTGCTTGTGTGCTCAAATGGACTAAGTGTGATCATTGACGTTTCACATCAGCCCTCTGTGACATGCTGGAGCACACAGTTATGTTATATGGTGTGAGGATAGCACCTGCGTAAAATTTCTGGGGCCTGGTCTGGTTTTGTGCTAATATTTTCTGGCACTTGGGCAAACTCCATAATTCATTTACATCATAAGCCACATCCGGTCACTTGTACTGAGCTGTGGTCTGGGAAGGTGACAATTAATTGACCGTATTGGTAAGATGCTCTATATTAAAGGCTATGTGAGCACAAGGAATGATCAGTGTCTTCTTGGTGGTGTCTTATTCTGGATAGTTTCCACCTTCCTGGAATATAGGAAAAATCCACAAATCCTATATTCTTGTGGTCATTCTGACTGGAAGCTGGAGTCTAGTTTTATAGGAATAAAAAGCCAGAGGCAATTTTTTTTTTTGCTTTACTATTTGAATGGTGGTAAAACCAGGCAGGTTGTTTCTGGCAACAAGGAGGCATTGGTATAATTGCAAGTGGCAGAGAGCAACTCACTCTGCTTGGTGAAGCTATAGCTGGGGAGCTTAGCGGTAGAAAACGTACCCCCGTCCAATTCTTAGGTCAGTCAGGGTGCCCTTGGCTGGCTTCCTCACTGAGTGTCCAAATGGGCATTGGCTTTCACCTGTTACTTCCAGCCCCACCCATTGTGGCCACAGGGTGTAACTCAAAGGTCAATGATCTATCTGGCACTGTGCTCGCTCCTTGTCACACCTCTCCAGGCCATTTGAGGCTGTGGATGTGCTTTGGGATGCATTTAGCCCTCTCCCTTTGGATGCATTTAACCCTCTTCCTTTGTCAGTTCCAGAGCCCCTGAGCCACAGAAAGTTCCTTCCAGACTCTATCAGGATCCTAGGGGAAGTTTTGGCAGTGATGCCGAGGAAGAAGAGTACCGCCAGCAGCTGTCAGAGCACTCGAAGCGCGGCTATTACAGCCAGCCCTCCCGCTACCGGGACACAGAGCTATAGGTGCTGAGAATGGAACCCCGAGCGCTGCTGCCCCTACACTCAGCACTCCTGCTGAGCCACGGAAAGTTCTTTCCAGTTAAAATGCACCGAAGTGGGACCTGAGCCCAGTTTCCTTGTGGGGTGGGGAGGCGAGGGGACAGCTACTGCAAATGAAGAACTGAAGGCTCTGTGTATGGGCCCGGGTCTAGGGAGTTTATGGCTTTTTGCTCAGAATTAAGAGAAACACTACACAGTCTGATACTGTTACCTGCTTCAGTGGACCAAAATCTGTATTAATTTTGTTTGTGTATTTTTAACATGTAAATTAAGAAGTGATAACTATTTTTCCTCATTAATAGCTGCCTTTGTGGACTGTTTCAATGTGAAAAAGAATAAAAATACTGTCAGATGCAAACTAAATTCAAAGAAGTATTTTATTACAACTCTAAGTGCCTTTGATGAGAAGTGTCTTAAGTGTTTTTCCTCTGAAGCTTTATGCAAAGCCATAATGGACTAAAACATTTTGACTCAATTTTTATATGCTAAGGTTTTCTCTGCACTGTGTCATCTTTTGAAGGAATTTGTCTTTGTAATATTTTCATAAAATCTGACTGTAGATATAATAGCTATACTTGGTAGTTTGTCTACCAGTGCTAAATCGCTTGAAGACCCAGAAGTTGGTATAGAAATTTTTTTCGTTTAAAACCCACATACTCCACAAAAACAGATAATCAAGAAAAAACACATTTTATTTCCAAAAGTGTGTGTATTGCCAACAGTTATATAATTTAATAAAAAGGAGGACATTGCAATCAATAACTTGCTTTGGGGTGAATTTCTTCTTCACTTCTGTTTTAAATGCAACTTTTATTTCAGTTACTGATCATGAAAGTGAGAACATTGGAAAATGAAGACATGAAAAACAAAAATTACTCATAATCCTGTCTCAGATCATTTTGGTGTATTTCCTCCATTTATGTGTTTGTTGGTAGTATATGTATGTTTTCAATGGAGGGGGCTACTGTGCTTGGAGCTTAGTTTCTACTTTTTCTATTAATAGTCTGTCACAAACATTGCAGGTAGTTAAAATGCACACACACACATCATTGCTGATAACTTCAGAATAATAAATCCTATGACTGCTTCATAAGTAGTCAGTTTTGCTGTTGTTGGCTATTTGGACTGTTTCCATCTTTTTGCCTCTTTTACATGAAATATACTTCTTTGTACATAATCCATTTTTTAAATATCAATTGATCATCATTTCAGTCCTTTTCTGTGGGCAGGTTATTTTAAGTGTAATTATTCAATAAAAGGGTAGGAACCTTTTTAAGTCTCTTGATGTTTATTGCCCAATTGCTGAGTAAAAAGCTACATCCATTCATACACCCACACTCACTCTTTAAAGGCTAAACTATGGTTAGAATTTAAACAGGGGAGCCTAGAAATTGAGGCTCATACGAATAAAAAATACACTGAATTTAGGAATGGAAAAGTCTCAGTGATACTAAGAATCTTTTATAATATGAATTGATACAAAGGTGTTAAGCTTCTCAATATACAGATTCAATGCTATTCCAATAAAAATCTCAATGACATTCTTCAAAGAAATAGAACAAATATTGATGAAATTCATATGGAACCACAAAAAACACGAGTAGCCAAAGCCCTACTGATGAAAACAAAAGAGAAAGGAGGTACCACACTTCCAAACTTCAAGCTATACTATAAAGCCATAATAATTAAAACAGTTTGGTATTGAAACAAAAACAAGACACATAACCAATGGAACCGAACAGAGAGCCCAAAAATAAAGCCATAATTACATGGAGAACTAATCTTTGACAAAGGAGCGAAGAATATGTAATGGAATATGGACAGTTTGTTCAATAAATGATGCTGGGAAAACTGGACCACCACATGAAAAAAAATGAAACTAGACCACTACCTTACATCATGCACAAAAATCAACTCAAAATGGATAAAAGACCTGGACATAAGACCTGAAACTGTAAAATATATAGAAGAAAATATAGGTAAAACATTAAAAAGCATACATCTCAGTAACATCTTTAAAGACTCATCACCCAAAGCAAGAAAGTCAAGGAAAAGATTAACACCTGGGATTACATCAAACTGAAAAGCTTTTTGTCCAGCAAAAGAGACATTAACCAAAAGAGAGAGACACCCCACTGATTGGGAAAAAATTTTTGCACTCCAGTCAACTGATAAAGGACTGATCACAAAGATAATAGAACTCACAAGACTCAACAAAAACAAAGTAAACAATCCAGTCAAGAAATGGGAGAAGAGCTTAAAAGACATTTCTCCAAAGAGGAAATATGAAACACGAAAAAATGTTCAACATGTTGGCGAGGTTGTGGTGAAAAAGGAACTCTCTTACATTGCTGGTGGGAGTGCAACCTGGTCCAACCACAATGGAAAGCTGTGTGGAGGTTCCTCAGTCTACTAAAAATGGAGCTACCAGATGACCTGGCAATTCTATTAGTAGGGATCTATCCAAAGGACACAAAAACATTGATTCAAAAGAACACCTGTGGGGGCCTCCCGGGTGGCGCAGGTGGTTGAGCGTAGCACTGTATAGCTGTCCACAGCCTCTGCAGTGCGTTTGATCCCTGCTGGCCATGGAGCCACCCACATGGCATGGCAGACCTCTCCAGTCTCACTCGCTGCTCCCCTCAGCAGTGTATTTCAGTCAGTCTGCCTGTTCTGTTCCCCACTCTGTTTCTGGTGAATCCTCTCACCCTCCCGCACATCTGGCCTGTAGCCCGGTTATGTATAAATAAATACAATGTACCCCTATGTTTATTGCAGCACTATTTACAATAGGTAAAACCTGGAAACAACCCAAATGCCCAAAAATAGATGACTAGAATCAAGAAGATGTGATATATATACAAAATGGAATATTATTCAGCAATCAAAAAAAGATAAACTCATGCCATTCGCAGCAACATGGATGGAGCTAGAGGGAATTATGCTCAGTGAAATAAACCAAAATGAAAAAGAAAAATATCGGATGGTTCTACTTATAGCAGGAATATAGGGGAACCAAATAAGACATCAGTGTAAAAAAATAATAACAGTACAAAACACAACAAAGCAAAAACAGACAATTATAAACCAAAGACATCCTGCAGGGGAGGAGGAGGGAGAGGGATCAGAGGGAGGGAGGGAGGAGCACAGGGGACTGAGGTGATGGTGCACGGGTGCATTGGGGAAGGAAACTATGGGGACTACACCTGATGGGTAGGGTGAAGCAAATATTGTTTAAAAATGAACAACGATGTAAAAAAATACCTAAAAAAATTAAAAAGGTGTTAAGCTTGTGTATTAGTTGAGTTTAAGATACAGCTTAGTCATTAGTTAATTATGTGTAAAAATGTTGTATCTCCATCTGGATGCCATAATTTGTAAACCATGCAGTGTATGGTGCCTTGAATTTTTGAGTTACCCTAAAGGTCGTGATTCAAAATCTATATATTCTAAAAAAGTGACCTTATTGGGTAGAATAAAAAATTGCATTATTTAAATATATGGTTTATTTTGCCCATATTCTTTGAATACAGGAGATTTCCCCCTTGTAAGACCAGGAAGGGGACAAGAAGAAACTTTTCAGCAATATCTGAGCTGTCACTTAACTCTAGCAATTTTTAAGAAAAAAAAATTTATTGAAATAACATTGGCTTATAACTTCATATTATAACATGTTATTTATTGAAATAACATTGGTTTATAACTTCATGTTATTACACCATGCCAGGTATACATGACATCTTTATATATGTATAAACACCTACATTTGGGTGTATAATATAACTAAATCTGTATATACCACATTTTGTTTACCACTAGACCTAGCCACTGAAAGCTATAAGACACTGAAAGAAATCGAAGACACAAAGAAATGAAAAGATATTCTGTGTTCATGGATTGGAAGAATTAACGTCAAAATGGCTACATTACCTATATCAATATACAGATTTCAGTGTAATCTGCATTAAAATCTTTGACAAAGGTACCACAGTCATACAATGAAGAAACAAAAGCCTCCTTAACAAATGGTGTAGGGCAACCTGAACAGCCACATATCAAAAAAGTGAAATGACCCTTACTTTTCTCCATACACAAAATTAATTCAAAATGGATTAAAGGTTTCGATATATAACCTGAAACCATAAAATATATAATAGAAAACAGGTCATACACACCTAGATGGCAATCACAGACTCAACACCAGTGAGGAGCTTTGAAAAACATGTTGTCAATATGCCAAGTCTTCTAAACTGAGAGGTATTTCCTATATGGTGTCATAAGTGGGAGAGATATAAGAACTAGGGAGTAATTCCTAGAGAGAATGGGGACAGAGATGTCTTTTAGCTGGTGTTCTCCGGAGAAACAACCATCAGAATATGTGTGTGTGTGGAGAGAGATTTTAAGGAATTGATTCACATGGAGGACTTGGTAAATCCAAAACCAGCAAGGTTAGTTGGCAGGCTAGAGACCCAGGGAAGACTGCAGCTTCCCTGACATTCTAAAACCACTCCATTTGGGACTACAGGAAATACAGAAGGGCTGAAGGGTTATGTGGGAAACAAATGATAGATGCAGATAAACCTCATTAAAGCACAGAAAATGGGAATGAACAGAAATAGGAGGGATGAGTCTGAATGCTTTCCAAATGAATGCACCTTGGAGACAAAATGTAAAGGATTCAAATTTCAGTGTTTTAAAGCATCAAAATGATGTTTTACACCAATCAATACACTGGCATTTTGCTGTTTACAGATATTATGTTGGGGAGAACACATCAAAGTCACCGATGCAGTTTCGACCTCAAAACACATTAAGTACCCTGAGTGGGTTCCTTTCCTACCAAAGCAACCCAGAGAGGCTATGATAGAAAACTGTAACACCATGTCATATATTTTCTGTAACACTTAAACAGGCTGGTGTGCATAAAATATTTGCAATAGTTGGCACAAAATAAATGCTCAATAAAATAGCTATCATCTCTATCAGTAGTTTCACCATGCTAAATTAGAAACCTTCTTTGATTTTCTTACTCTGCCAAATGATGACCTACTTTAGTCTACTTTAAAACTATTTTTAATTTGTCCCTCTATCCCTTTTCCCATAGCCACTACCCTACTTCAGATGGTTGTAAACACCCAACTCGCTAATCCTCCATCCAAATAGTAGAATCATCTTTCTGTAATCCGATCTGAGGATGTTTCACTTCTATTTTAAAAAGTTTTAAAAAACAAAACAGTGATGATATCCCCTTGCCTGGAGCAAAGCAGTGTTTTGTTCTCGTTGTTGTTTTAGATATAATTGACATGCAACATTGTATAAGTTTAAAGTATACAATGTTGATTTGATAAATTTATATGTTGCAATATGATTACCACCTTGACTTCAGCTAACACTCATATCACATCACTTAACTTCCTTTTGTGGAGAGGACAATAAAGATCTAGTCCCTTAAATGCAAAGATTAATTCTTTATCATGGTATTCAAGGTTTCTACTATCTGTGCCTATAGCAGATTGCATCACTGGTTCCATGTCTTCACTGCTCTCTCTGGCCTTTGCTATATGACTTTGCAGTTTCTTCCACTAAAGACTCAGAATCTATTTCTTTTACCCTGGCTTTGGATTGACGTGGTGACTCATTTTCTTGCACTCCCTCCATCCCATGAGAGAAAACTCAGGCTACCTGCTGTTTCCTGAGCACCAAGAGAGATATGGGAAGAGAAACACTCTGAACCCAGCTACATCAACTATCGATGCTCAGATGTGTGAAGGATAGTTATACAAGTGTTGTTTTAAGCCGCTGAGTTTGGAAGGGTAGTTGGTTATACAATAGCAGAATCCTTTTCCTTATAACTTTCTCCTACAAATCCAGGTATGTTCTAATTTCACAGGATGTCTTGTCCTTAACACATTCCTTGAATTCTCTGCTGTTCCCCCTACTGAGGGTACCCTTCTCTTTGTTTCAAAATCCTACTCATCTTTGGGGTCTAGTTAGTATGCCACAGTCTTTGTCTTCTCTGATGCCTCTGATAAATTTATCACAGACGCAACACCGTAATCTCTGATATTCTAGTCATCAATGTAGAGATCTTCTTCCCACTCACTCAACTCCTTTAAAAGGAGTGTGTGTCTGTCTGTCTGTGGGTGGGTGAATGTTACTTATCTTTCATTTTCCTCAGTGCCCTGCACACATTCCAGAAATGTTTGATGGAGAAAATGGAAAGAACAAGGGACCAATAGGGGCCTCCCCGGTGGTGCAGCGGTTGAGCGCTGGGTTG